TTATTTTTATTTTATGTGTATGCATATATTGCCTGCATGTAGGTAAGTGTAACTGTGTCCTGCAATGCCCTTGGAGATCCGAAGAGGCTGTCGGATCCCCTAGCACTAGAGTTACAGACAGTTGTTAGCTGCCATGTGGGCGCTGGGATTCGAACCTGGGTCTTCTCCAAGAACAGCCAGTATTCTTAACTGCTGAGCCATCTCTTCAGCCCCGACTTATTTTATTTTTTAATTGTGTGTGTATGTGTGTGCGTGTGCATGTGCCTGTGCCTGTGTCTGTGTCTGTGTGTATGTGTTGGGGGTTGAGGGATATATACATATGAGTGTGGCTGCCTGAGGAGGCCAGAGAGAGCATTGGATCCCAGTGAACTGGAGTTACAGGTGATGTGGGTCCTCTGTAATAGCAGTATATACTCTTTTTTTAAAAAAATATTTTTAATTTATTAAAAATAAGAGATGAGGGGAGGGGAAGGAAGGGGAGAGAAATAAGCAAAAAGAAATTAAAAGAAGAGGGTGTCGGATTTTCCTGGAACTGGAGTTAAGGACGGTTTGTAGCTGCCGTGTGGGTGCTGGGAATTGAACCCAGGTCCTCTGCAAGAGCAGTCGGTGCTCTTAACTGCTGAGCCATCTCTCCAGCCCAAGAGCAGTGTGTACTCTTAACCACTGAGCCATCACTCCAGCCCCCTTCATTTATTTTGTAATAACTTTTAAAATCTAAGGAGCCACTGATGTGGCTTGCAGAGAAACGAATGTGAGGTTTATAAACACTTGACAGGATGCCTAATTTTTTAATAATTAGAGAAATGTAATAGAAATGAATTAGCATTTTTGCCTATTAGATTTACAGTGTTCTAATAGGACTTTGTGTTCTTTCATTGTGAGGGAAGTCCATGTTGACTGCACTTTTATCAAGAAAATGAGTTTCACTTATTTTTCAGCAAGCAGTTTGGTAAGGTTTGTCAGAATTTGAAATTGTCTATAACTTTAGGCTCAGCAACTGCATTTTGGAAGAACATCTTAAAATTATAAATGTACTTCAAGAAATATGTATAAGTCATAGCAGCATCATTTAAAATAGCAAGAGAATGACAACCAAGCTAAATATCCATTAATAGTGGACTAATTTAACTAACTTCATTGCATAGCATTTCATACACCGATAGGAAGGACAGTAGATCTCAAGATGTGAGCATGGAAGGTTCTCCATGAGCCATTGCACACAGCCTGTGTCCAGGGCAGCTGGGTAGTGGAGCCTTTGGCCTGGGTTCAAATCACTGTTTTGGCAGTCCCCTGCTAGGTAGAATTTGTGATCCATTACCTTAACTGTTTAATGGGAATACAGATAGTGCCTACCTTATAATGCTGTTTTTGAGGATTATCTATATACATGTAAAATGCTTAGAACACTACCTGGATCACAGGAGGTAGTCAGTATATTTAACCATTTGCAATTTTAGAAAAGAATGGGAGGGGTAAGAGAGTAGAGGTCATAGGGAAGAGATTTATCATCATATACACTTTGGTATTATTTTTTAAATGTCTGTGACCATCTTTTAAACCAGAAACTTAAGAAGTTTTGTTTTGTTTTGGTCTTTTTGAGACAGGGTCTCCCTGTAGCCCTACCTGGCCTGGAACTCATTTTGTAGACCAGGCTGGCCTCAAACTCACAGAGATCCGCCTGTCTTTGCCTCCCAAGTGCTGGATTTAAAGGCGTGTGCTACCAAACCCAACTAAGCTTTGCATCTATTTTTGTTGTATAAGCATTAAGAGAACAGTATTGTTTGACAACATGTTGTAATGAAGGTTGTGAACACGGAAAGGGTGAAAGCTAGTATAGTGACCACCATATTTCTAACACTTAGATTCGATCAAAGATTACATCTTTAGACATTGTCTAAAGGAAGCAAAGAGTGAAATATGTACTGATTTGAAGATTAAAAGTGGAGAAAATAAATGGAGACATTAGAAGTCAGATATTGTCAAATGACAGCCTCAGGGTAATTTTGCCTCTGTCGTTTTAGAGTATTTGAGAAGTGAAGTGGTTTTTTTTCTTTTAATATTATTATTGTTATTATTAATTATTATTTTTGGTCTTTTTGAGACATGGTCTCCCTGTAACCCCAGCTAGCCTGGAACTCGCTATGTAGACCAGGCTGGCCTTGAACTCACAGATATCTGCCTGCCTCTGCCTCTTGAGTGCTGGGATTCAAGATGTGTGCCGTCACACCTGGCTATTAACTTTATTTTTCAATGAGAATAAATTGCATTCAGTGATATGCACAGATCATAAGTGTTAAAGGTCCTGGAGTTTTATTATGTGGGTTACAGCTATGTGACGAACCCACACGAAGCTCTCACATGCTTCATAACAGTGATGCCCCAAACACTTGTCAGAGTTCTTTGCATAAAGTTTCAGTTCTGATTCAAGACATCCTGATTTTATGCTTTTATCATTGAGAAGGAATTAATGTTTATGACATCTTACAGCTTAACATTGAGAAGAGAAAAGAAATGCAGCAAGAAAAGCAGAAAGCACTTGATATAGAAACGAGAAAGCAGATTAATAGGAAGAAAGCTCTCCTGACTCGTGTCCAGGAGATTCTTGAAAATGTTCAGGTATGTCATTCAAACTCTTTTTAAAAAAACAATATTTATTAATTTTATATGTACAATGTTTTGTTTGCATATATGTAAGTGCACCATGTGCATGCAATGCCTGCAGAGGCCAGAAGAGGGTGCTGGATCCCCTGGAACTGGAGTTAAGGATGGTTAGCCACAGTGTGGGTGCTGGGAATCAAACCTGGGTCCTCTGGAAGAACAAGTGCTCTTAACCACTGAGCCATCTCTCTAGTCCCTCAAACTCTTAGATTGTAATTAAGACATGAAGTAAGCATTGATGATAATTTTTCAGAACTGTATCTGCACTTAACTAATTAATTACCAAGTATGCCTTCCTGTTATTTGTGAGTATAGTTTGTGATATTCCATTTCAGTTACTTCAGAGAATCTGTTTGTTTGTTAGTGCTGCCCAGTCCTTGAATCAGAGGGTCCTTAAACAGTGGAGCTATACACCAAATATAATTGCTATTGTCTCTGTCTTATGACTACAGACATTGAATTCCCAGTGTCAAAAATGATACAATTGCCCATTGTAGTTAACCCCTGAACTAATCAGACTATTGAGTAAAGGACTTTCCTCTTATTCTCTGCTAAAGTAAATAACTGCCTTCAAATTATTTGTGGTGAATGTATGTATGTGTGGAAGTTTTGCTCTTAGATATGGAAAATGACATTTCAACTAAGTAGACTTCCCTAGATATATCCCAGACCCAAATTGAAATCACTTCAACAACATCAACACCTTTTGCAATTATTATTTAGGTTAATTTAGATTTGTATAACAGTTTAAGGTCTGAGGGTCATTTCATACTAAAAAGAAAAATGACTTAGATTGAGCAAGAAATAACTGCCATACATAACTGTTTTGCTGGCATTTTCCATAGTCTTTAGGGGTCTGTAGTTTGCCTCTGTGATTCAAACTGGATGACACATATAATATGAACCTCAGGACATGTCCTCCTAATGCTGCCTGTAGAGTAGCATATAGTGTGGGAGGTAGATTTTAATTTTCATATTGTACTAATGTAATAAGTAGTTTTTTGGCTTACTGGGTGTTTCCTATTGTTATTGCAACAAAAATGCCATGCTATTCTTTATCCAATCCACTGAGAAAGATCACATCGATACTAATAGAATATCCTAATGAAATTACAATTGTGTTTAAAAAAGCATGTACAGTGTCAACTCTAACGAACTCCTTATTCAGACAAATGAATTTTATATATTGTAAATAGATTGTGAAGGACTTGTTCATCTATAAAACCTGTGATTCAGTTACAGTTTTAATTTTCTAAATTTTAGCTTGTCTAACTGTGGTACATAAAACATATAGCTGTTGAATATCACAAATGGGGGAATTGTGCAAGATCTTGTATAACAGAATAATCTGTTTTGCTTAAGCCTATGAGCATGTTCATAGATTTGGGGAATGAGCATCCCGTTTGGTTTATTTTAGTCCTGAGGTTATGACTAAATATACCTATATTGTTTGCTGCATAGTGCTTGGAGACCATTATGTGTCTTGGGACTTATAAGGTGGAACAGGAGGGCCATACGGTCCAGGAAAAAAACAAAACAAAAAAATCACTCCAGGTTTTTAGTATTCGTGATAATGCTATAATGATTTCTGCAAACTTGTGTTTTCTGTGGGTCTCTGAGGTGTTATAGTTATTCTAATCCTAAGATGTCAAATGTTTACTTAAAACATAACAGGTTGTCGTTTTAACCAACGTAAGTTAATCTAATTGAATTTGGCTTTGTGAGTTGAGTTCTAAGTTGAAATATTTCTCTTTAAGTAACATAAAGTACATGAACTATTATTTACTGTAAATCTGACTCATCAAGGAAACCTTTGAGTAAGCATGTTTAAAGCAGGAGTCTTACTGAATTATTATTATCATCATTGCTTAACCAATGTCCTAAACAAGCTTGTTTTGCTATAAGAAATCATATATGTAAGACATTTAATTACTTGATATTTATTGCATATATTATTATTGTTAGATGATAGTTGTCTTAGGAGGAATAGTTAGTGATAGTAATAACATATAACCAGAAGCTAAGGAAATTGCTTCTATCCTGAGGTTAAATTGAACATGGATAAATGTGTGTGTGTGTGTTCATATTTATATCTTTAAATAAATAAGCTAAGTTGACCAATAGATTTTTTTTATAGTGGTTTGATCCCCATTTGATAAAGGAAATCCTTCTGTCTTAGTCCCCTGAGTGCTGAGATTATAGGCAGGAACCACCATGCCTTTATAAGAACTCTGAATTATCAGTTTCCAAATTATTTTAGAAAATAATGAAATCAAAGGCTTTTTGTGCATTGGAGAAATACTGATTTTTGAATGTCCTTTTCAGGTTAGAAAAGCACCTAGTGCCAGTGATTTTGATCAGTGGGAGACTGAAACAGTTTACTTTAATCCACAAGTCAGAGACTTGAATGTTCCTGCTATGGTTCCAAACAGCTTGCCAAGCCCCACTGGGTACTCTCCTTCAGTAGAACTTGAAGAGATACCTGGGATTTTGCCTTTGGATAATGAGGACCAACATAAACCAAATGGGATAGACCTGACTGTGGACTCAGAAGGTTCTGATTCTCTGAAGCAGTGTGATGGTCCGAATACCAGTCATGCAGAAAATGAAGCTTCCCCAAAGCTCTCCTCAGCGAGCCCACCAGAGACTCTCATTTCTGATGGTTCCTTGTCAACAAATGAAGAACAGGACTCACCACGGTTGGCTGAAGTCACCTCAGATCCCTACATAATGAGCCTTCAGAACCTTATGAAAAAGTCAAAGGAATACATAGAAAGAGAACAGTCTAGGCGCAGTTTGAAAAATAGTGCAAGGAGTGTTGACGAAAGTCACTCAGACAAAGAAAATGATGCTGCTAAGGCCAGTGACTGTGAGGAGAAAGCCCTGGAGACAGGGAGACACTGTGGTTCAGTTATTCCTGACAAACCAAGCCTTAATAAGTCAAATGTCCTCCTTCAAGGTGCTTCCTCTCAAGCAGGCAGCATGAATATGTCAGTTTTAGCTCATTCTCCTAAAGCAGACCCTCCTGTGCGAACTGGCCCTCCCGCGGTTCCAGATGCTGAGTCAGATTTTAAAGCTAGTCCCACTTTTGTTGCTGAAAATAAAGTTATCAAAAGTCTTACAGGTTCATATGCCAAATTACCTAGTCCAGAACCCTGTATGAGTCCTAAAATGCATCGAAGGCGTTCCAGGCCATCATCAGCATGTCATATACTTATAAATAACCCAATAAATGCCTGTGAGTTAAGTCCAAAGGGAAAAGAACAGGCAGTGGATCTAATTGTTCCAGCCACTGATGAAGCAACACATGTACCTGAAACTGTGCCAGAGTCACCAACTGATTTAACAGGTGTTTGTTTAAGCAAAGTTTATGCTAGCAAAAACATGTCTAAAGTCACAGAAGTTATGGTTGTAGGTAAATCAAGTCAGGTATGTCAGTCTTTAGGAAATCAATTAGAAAATAAAGTTCCTCTTGAGCATGCTGCTGTGGAAAGCCACTTAACTAATGAGAGGGGAGTCCAGAAAGTGAACTGCATGGCAATGTCCAAATTGCATGAGCCATATGCTACCAGTCAGTGTATGGCAAGTCAGAACTTGGGAAGTATATGTGGACTCAAGTCAGCCAGTATGCTAGAGAAAAACTCTTGCAATTTACAAATGGAACTGAATAAATCTTACGATGTGAAAAACCCATCTCCATTACTTATGCAAAACCAGAGAAGCAGAGCACAGACGGACACACCTACGGTGCCCTGTGGAAATGAACAGTTTGTGGATAACAGTTTTGAAAAAGTTAAGCGGAGACTTGATTTAGACATTGATAGCTTGCAAAAAGAAAACTGCGCTTATGTCCTAACAGCTGGAGCAGCTGAACAGGAGAGGCAACATTTGCCAGAAAAAAGAAACCCTAAGGGATGCGTCTACATTAACAAGAACAAGATGTTAGAGTCTAGTACCAAAGGTAAGGCAGCTTCAAGGAAATGGCAACTTTGTTTCAGTATTTCCAATGGACATTTTATGAAGTAAAAACCAATTATAAGGGCACTTAAATTCCTTTGTTTGGCTTTCTTCTTTTTTTTTTTTTTTTGTCTTTTTGAGACAGGGTCTCCCTATAGTCCCAGCTGGCCTTGAACTCAGAGATCCACCTGCCTCTGCCTCCTGAGTGCTGGGGTTAAAGGTGTGTGCCACCATGCCTGGCTTCTTAGGCTTTCTTAAAGGATTCTCACAATTGAATGATGAAGCTTTCACAGTCTTTTTGGTATAGAAAATAGTACTGACACTGAGTTTCAGAAATCTTTTTTTTTTAATTTTATTTTTATTTTATGTGTATTGCCTACATGTATGTAAGTGCTCCCGTGTCGTGCAATGTCCGCAAAGGAGAGAAGAGGCTGTCAGAGCCCCTGGAACTGGAGTTATGGACAGTTGTTAGCTGCCATGTGGGTGCTGGGATTCGAACCTGGGTCTTCTGCAAGAACAGTGTTCTTAACCTCTAAGCAATCTCTTCAGCCCTGAGAAATGGTTTTTACAGGAAACATAGTTTTAATCTAATGTGTTACGAGGTCTTTGGACTATGGATTCTACTGTTTTTGCCAGTTTGCCCTTTGATTTATAATGAGATTTCATATAGTTGTCCCTTTGGTAAACACTTCAGATCAAATTTTTAGGGTATCACAAATAAACCTCTGGCTTATTGATGATTAAAGAATAGTTCTTTATGGATATACATGGTTTCATGTTTCTGTCATACCCAGTTTTGTGCTTTTCTTCATTGTTCTGTTATAATTTATAATTATATGGTAAACACAAATCAAGTAAATTAAGCTTTTTGAACTTAGGGCAAAAATAAATTTAGAACAGAATGCTTAAAACCACCTTTATAAGAGCCTTCAGGGGGCTGGAGCGATGGCTTAGCTGTTCTTCCAGAGGACCAGGGTTCAATTTTCAGCATCCACCTGGTGGCTAACACCTGTCCTTAACTCCAGGTCCAAGGGATCAAACACCCTCTTCTGGCCTCTGAGGGCACCAGGCATGCATGTGGTGCCCTTACATACTTACAGGCAAAACACTCATAAAAATAAATAAAATATTTTTTTTCTTTTAAAAAAGAGCCTTCATAAGTCCATTTGGTACCTGGGGAACCAATTTGAATCCTCCAGGAAGAGAGCCTTACATGGGCGAATGAATGTTGCCTCAGTGAATGCCAGAGGAATGCAAAGCCTGCATGAGGGATGAGGCCAGTCATGGAGGTGGCAGGTGGCCGTTAGAACCAGCAGAGCAGGCAGTGCAGGCAGTCAGGGTGACTGGAGATGCCCACAGCTCCAGTGCATCTTCACTTAGAGAGTTCTTGGGTAGAGCCAGGTGGACTCTTAATGGTGGTGTTGAACCGAGCGGCTGTAATTCTAATGCTTTTCCACTTTCCTTCTATATTAAGAAAAAAAAAATTCCACATGAACAAATGCAACTTGTAGCTGATTAAAACCTTTTTAGGAGGGGCTGGAACGATGGCTCAGTGGTTAAGAGCACTGACTGCTCTTGCAGAGGACCCGGGTTTGATTCCCAGCACCTGCATGGCGGCTACGAACTGTCCTTAACTTCAGTTCCAGGGGAATCCAAAGCCCTCTTCTGACCTCTGCGGCATTGCATGACACAAGTGCACTCACATACACGTAGGCAATACACTCATACACGTAAAATAAAAATAATAAAATATTAAAAAATATTTTTAGGAACAAATTTAGGAAGACTATAGCAGTAGGGCATATCTACTTCAGTACAAATTGTTGGCTGCATATTTGGAGAGACTGCTCCTTTGATGGATCCATGGGTATGTACTTGCTGCAGCTGCATAGTATCTGCTAGGTCAGCACTTCAGAGCGTCTCTCCACTTCCTACTTAGTTAACTTGCATAAACATAATGATTTTTTTTTTTTTTAGTAACTACAATCTGGAATTTAAAGTCTAATCTTTTTTGGAATCTCCAGCTGAGATTTATAACCATCAAAGCAATTTTTGCTTTAAAAACCCAAACGAGGGGCTGGAGAGATGGCTCAGTGGTTAAAAACATTGACTGTTCTTGCAGAAGACCCGGGTTTGAATCCCAGCACCCACATGGCAGCTAACAACTGTCTGTAACTCCAGTTCCAGGGGATCCGACAGCCTCTTCCATCTTCTGCAGACATTGCATGACACGGGTGCACTTACATGCAGACAATACACGCATACACATTAAAAAAACAAAAAAAACAAAAAACCCAAACAAAAGGCTGGGAGATAGCTTAATTAGTAAAGTGCTTCCATGGCAAGCAGGAGGAGTGAGTTTGGACCCCTAGGACCCACATGAAGAGCCCGACAGAATGGCATGCACCTGTGATCCTAGTGTGGGGAGGCAGAGATGGGAGAATCTCTGGAGCCCACTGGCCAGCGAGTGTAGCAGGATGGGTGAGGGTTCAGTGAAAGATTTTTGTCCCAAAAACTAAGGTGGAGCCAGGAGTAGTGATGCACACCTTTAACCCAAGCATTAGGGAGACAGAGGCAGGATGATCTCTGTGAGATCAAGGCCAGCCTGGTCTTCTACATAGTGAGTTCTAGGCCAGGTTGGGCTACAGGGAGATCCTGTCTCAAAAAGCACTCCCCGCCCCCCAAAACCAAGGTGGAGAGCAAGCGAGGAAGATACCGATTTTGACCTCTGGCTTCTACGTGTGCCCACATATGAGCTATGCAATTTTAGGCTGTACACTCATGAGCATAGACATGTGCACATACCACAAACACAAGCAAATACACACAAACAAGCAAAACAGAGATCAAGTTGAAGGATGGGTCAGAAGGTAAATACTGATGAGATGTAATTGAAGACCATGTCTGATCAGACCTTGGAGAGACTTGTGGAGTCTTGGCTCCATTGATCTGTTGAATGAATTGCTCAAGGTGATGAGATGCAGGCCTATCTTTTTTGGTAGCATGAAAGAAGAGGAGGGGCAAATGAGAATGTTTCACACTGGTGAGCCCACTACTCACATGCAAGGGCCGGGAATGCGCTCTGCTCAGAAGCCTGTCATAAAATGTGAGCTCTTAGACTTGCCATGAATTTTCTCAAAGGGACATGTTTCTTTTCAGAAGCCGAGATACTAAAAAGCAAGATGTCAGCTTTTGAAGAAATGCGGAAGAGACTAGAGGAACAGCATGCCCAGCAGTTATCACTCCTCATAGCTGAGCAGGAGAGGGAGCAGGAAAGGCTGTGGAAGGTGAGGAACTGTGATGTGGGGGTAGGCTAGCCATCAGGAGTTGAGATATGGGGTGCGCTAGCCATCAGGAGTTGAGACGTGGGGTGGGCTAGCCATCAGGAGTTCAGGAAACTGAATTTGGGCACTATATATTTTGGTCATTGTTCCCATGAACATCTTAATCTAAGATGCTTTTGATATATGGGTAGTATTTTTTTTGTCAGAATGCGAGGTCTAATATTTAAAGCTTTATCTAAAAGCAATTGAATAATTTATGAAAAGATACTTTATTGAATCCTTAATTCAAATTTCTAATATTTTTAAAGGCATTTATAATAAATAATACACTTTTCAAGAACAATATCATAAGGATACTTGAGTTTTTTTTGTTTTGTTTTGAGACAGGGTCACTCTAGCCCCAACTGTCCTGGAAGTTGCTATGTAGACGAGGCTGGCCATCTTACAGAAATCTGCCTGCCTCTGCTTCCCAAGTGCTGGGGTTAAAGGCATGTAAACCATGCCTGGCAAGATACTTCTTTTGATTGTTGTATCACAATAAACTTAAACTTGACTTAAAAATTAAAAGAAGATAAAAATTTTAAAAGTAAAATCAATTAAACAAGTTGCCATAATTTTATTTGAAGGAGGAAAACTTCAGATAAATAATGTACTGTTAATACCACATATTTTTAGATAAACCTAGAATGACATTATTTGGGGATATAACTAAGGGATCTAACATGTTAAATCTAGCATGTTAAAATAAACTGTTAATCTATAGGAAATAGAAGAGCAGGAGAAGATGTTAAAAGAGAAGAAGGCTGTTACAGCAGAAGTCTCCAGGCTGAACACCAACAGCGCGGTGGAGTTGGAGTGGAGGAGGAGAACTGATTCCGGTTTGCTGGACACAGTGCTGTCTCAAGTGGACTCTTTCCAGACTTCAAACAACTCTGGTGACTATTGAAAAATCCTCACTCTTCTGAAAACTTGTACAGTAAGGTGTTTTATCTGGCACACTGGAAAATCTTACCTTCCTTCTTCAAGTAATTTCGTGCCCATGCCACTCCCATCTGCCAGCTGCTTAGTAGCCAGTGAACAATGGAATGATAGCGGCCTAAGACCGCAGAACAGGTGCTCATGAAAAGAGTACCTGAAGAAGGAAAGTAGGCAGTTGGGCCTGAGCCTGGTCTGTGTTCATTCATGCAGCAGGTGACATGCTCAAGTGAAAAGTGTTGATTATCTCCTTAGTGATCGGGAATTACCTCTAATTCCCCAGTCCCGGTAAGACCTTATCTTCACTATCAATTATCTTGAGATGCCATTTGTCTTGAAATGATCCATCTGGCACAGAAGCTGAACATCCATAAATATTTTAAATTTGCATGTGGATCGGTTTCAGAGGTAGTGGTCATTCTTTTTTTTTTGGCTTTTTGAGACAGGGTCTCCCTGTAGCCCCAGCTGTCCTGGAACTCACTATGTAAACCAGGCTGGCCTTGAACTTACAGACATCCGCCTGCCTCTGCCTCCCGAGTGCTGGATTAAAGACATGCGCCACCATGCCTGGCTTGCCCGTCATTCTTAATGAGTGTCCCAAGTGTTTGTTTGCTGCGGTGTTTGTGTATTCTGATTATATGACATCAAACATGATACTATGTGCTACTGTGAGATACTATTACTATATGTTTCTCTAGGTTTCACAAATTCTGCCATACAATATAGCTTTGGTTCTGCAAGTGAAGCACCATTCTACCTCTGGGGATCACCAACAAGTGGCATGACCAAACTCTCAGTAACAAGGCCTTTTGGAAAGGCCCAAAGTAGGTGGTCTCAGGTGGGCAAACTTGATATATGTCTATGTATTGATTTAGTTTTGTTATTTGTTTTACCTTTTGATTTATTTTTGGTAAGTGGAGGGGGCTACACATGCCACAGGGTGCATGTGGAGGTCAGAGAGCAACTTGGGTCCTCAGGATCAAACTGAGGTTGTCAGGCTTGGTGGCAGGTACCTTTACCCACTGAGTTAGCTCACCAGCCAATCTTAATTTGTTTTTTTTGTTTTGTTTTGTTTTGTCTTGGTTGAGACAAGGTCTCCCTGTAGCCGCAGCTGGCCTGGAACTCACTAACTCTAAAACTCACAGAGATCTGCCTGCCTCTGCCTCCCAAGTGCTGGGATTAAAGGCGTGTGCCACCACGCCCAGCCACTCTTTTATCTGTTTTTTAACAGCTATGTTAGGTGATACACTGAGCATCAGTATTTTTTTTTTTTTTTGCCATGCAGCAAATAGCTAGGTTTTGGTCCATATGAAACTACAAGAGCAAATACAGAGAAGAATTTTAGCTTGTGGTCATAGATGAGAGAAATAATTGACTATGGTGCTGGAGTTCTTAAAACATTGTATCTGATTTCTCCTAGGTTTTTAGTCTAGAAATACAAGCAAAATTTAACAAAATAACTGCTGTGGCAAAAGGATTTCTTACCCGAAGACTTATGCAGACGGATAAGCTAAAGCAGCTTCGGCAAACTGTAAAAGTGAGATTGTTGGAATTGTTTGTTTCCATTTCTGTCTTACTTTCTGTCTTCTGACAGCCAAGTTCAGAATGCAGATCGAATAGTTTCTAGTTATGGTAATTTAGGTAATTTAGTAAGTCTGATTACGTGTATTTTTTTTTTTTTTGCCAGAATTACCCTTTTTAATTAATTTATTTATTTATGTGTGTGTGTGTGTGTGTTTTCCGTGTTCTATGTCCTGTTAGTAGCCCTGATGGAAACTCATTGAGTCCAAAATAAAAAAGTAAAAAAGAAAAAAAAAAAAGCCAAAAAGACATGAGAGCTGAAGAAGGGTTAGTGGGGAAGAAGCGGCAGGGGAGGGGGGCATGGAGTGACAGGAGTGTGCATATTGATGGGAATAGTTTGTACAAGTATGAGAGTAGCATAGTGAAACTCAAGTGTAATTGCTATTACCGTTAAGCACATTTTTTGCAGAAGGAATGAGAGCATAGTAACAAGCACAGTAATACAGTTTATGTGTTAAGCTGGTACAAAGATGAGTTATTGCCATTTAAAGTGCTCTGAGGACTTCTAGTTTTACTTGTTCTGTGACAGAAAACTAGTTGGCAAGGTAGGAAATGAAAAACTACACCCCAAGAGACCACAAAGGAGCAGGCTGGTGAACCGGGCCAGAGGAGAAAAAGCTAGTCAGAGCCCTTTGCCAGTGGTAGGTATGTGGCTGTGCTCTCTGCCAAGAGGCGCATAGGGATACTCAGGTTAATCAGTCTGGGCCCTGGATTAATAGAAGACTCTCACCCCTATAGAGAAAAACAGGCCTGGAGTCCCCTGAAGTCTTTTTCCTTACTTTTATGGCTGAGGGTCTCCTTGGGCCTAGGCAGGCATTTCTTAGCTGTTTCCCATCCAGTCCCTCCAACTCTATATTCTGTGCATTTTACCACAAAGGCCTCTGGCTCTCAGAACATGCACAAGGTGAAGGCAGGGATTGTAGGCCTGCTCTGAGGGAATGTGGTTACAGGAAGCTGCTTTGTGTGTGATAAACTGCAGATATCCCTGTGCTTAATTCACCTTTGTGAATAAAGGTTATTGGCTCTTCTGCTGATGACAACTTGCTCTCAAGAAGGAACTGGTTTAAATGAATTTTGGAAAATGGAAAAAAAAGACTTTCAGCAATATCTCTCGTTTGTTTGTTTATTTGTTTATTTATTTATTTATTTTGAGACAGTAGCCCAAGCTGGCCTGTAATTTACTGTGTAGACCAGGCTGGCCTTGAACTCACAGTGCTGGGATTAAAGGTGTGAACCACCACACCTGGCTTTAATCCCACTCTTGAACAAATGAGGGCACAAATTATCTTCTGCAAAATCTTTCACCTCCTCCCTCTTTCCTCTTCCTTCTTCCCTCGTCCCTCATCCCTCCACCCTCCCTCCATCCTTTGTTGTTTTGAGACAGTCTCAATATGTAGTCCTAGCTGGCCTGGAACTCACTATGTAGACCAAACTGGTCTGGTATTCACAGAGATCTGCCTGCCTCTGCCTCCCGAGTTCTGGGATTAAAGGTCTGTGTTACCACTCCTGGATATTTATTTACTTTTTAAATTTACTTGTGGAGATAGGGCTTCATTCTAGCTTAAGCTAGCCATAAACTCATAGCAAACCTTCCTACTTCAGCCTCCCAAGTGCTGAGATCACAGATGAATCAATAGGCCTGACCTGAGCAGGATCTTAAAGCAGCACAGGCCATTTCAGCTGTCACTTATGTGCTCACACCACCCAGCGATTGCTGTTGTATGTGCCCTCATCCCACCCTCAGAATCTGTGAGTCTTCTGTGAGGCCTCAGCTATGTTATGTTGGCTGCTCACAGCTGACAGCATCTTCTGCCCTCCAGTGTGGTGTGGCCTTCTCCTAAAGGCAGGAGCCCCTCATGGCTGAGAACTGCAGGGCTGGCCCCAGCTGTGTTTGTGTGCTTCCTCATATTCTTCTCCATCACAGTCATCTGCATCTTCATCCTCAGCATCTGCTATTGCAGTGCGCTGCCCCCAGGGCTGATTTATCACTAAGCTCAAATCTGAATCCAGTAATATGGTCAGAGTCATTATCACTGCCTTTTCACTACAGCATAACAGTGCTCTCACAAATGGGCAGTCGAGGCCCCTGGACACCACATTTCAGTGAATGGTGGGGTGTGACCAAGTCAGGCAGCCTTTTCCCATGGAGACAGAGAAACTGCCTATGCAGCATAGCCTCAGTGTTTGGCGCTGCTGCTGGAGTCCCTCGGCCAGGTTGGGTAGCAGGAGGCTTTTGAGAAAGCTCTCTGCAAGTCGGGGGCTCAGCTTTTGGTGTCTTCAGTAATAGTTTATGTCCTTAGTAATTCTGAACTGAGAAAGAGAATAAAAGGAAACTAATGGTCACAGGTCTTCCTAGAAAGCTGCTTGAAGGAGAGTCTCTTTTCTTCAGGACACCATGGAATTCATAAGAAGCTTTCAATCAGAAGCACCTCTAAAGAGAGGCGTTGTATCAGCACAAGATGCTTCCCTTCAGGAAAGAGTGCTAGCACAGGTAAGTGCTGCTGTCCTGAGGGGCTTCCAGGAAACTGACCAGAACCTGATTGGAGGCCTAGAAGTAGAAATTCATATCTCTTCATTTAATCACGACAGTAGGTTTCAATGACAACTGCCATAACCTCTTTCCCTGATTGAAAGAAATGCTCCTAGTATCCACTGTAGTGCTAAATCTGTCATCCTTTAAATGTACACAGTATTTTCTTCTTTTGCACCTAGTTGCGAGCTGCCCTATACGGTATTCATGACATATTCTTTGTGATGGATGCAGCTGAAAGAATGTCCATCCTGCATCATGACCGAGAAGCCCGCAAAGAGAAACTGCTCAGGCAAATGGTATGCATGTGGCTCTGTGGTGGGGCTCTTGTGAGCTCAGGGTAGCAGAGGACCCATGTCGCTCTGCTGACTGCAGTGCCAACCAGCAGTTCTGATGTAGGTGGCTTGCAGGATTGCCAGCAGCACTTAAATCGATGGGGAGATAGATCTAAAAGAATTACATCGTGAAAGAGTCACGCAGTGCGCTGCCCTTGCAGTTTGGAGTTGAGCCTCGAGTGTTTTGCTCAGGAGACTCCTGAAGAACTGTCAGCTGTTCCCAATGGCATTTTCTTGTCAGTCTCATATGCATTTTCTCTCTCTGAAGTCAGAAAAGAGGCTCAAAGGTCATTTTAAATACAACATATCAGAGTTATGGCAGTCTCACACACAATAATAATAAACAAACATAAAACAGTGATTTAAACATGAAGTTTTTAGAATCAGGTTGCATTAATCAGAAAGGAAAAGTGAGTGTGAATGTTAGTTAAGCGATTGGGCCCTTCATGTTTGGTACAGTGGCATTTTTGTGCTAGTCAGCCTGCTGTTCCATTTGTGCTTAAAGGACAGAATGAAAAGCCCGAGGGTGGCGCTCTCAGCTGCAACACAGAAGTCGCTGGACAGGAAGAAGTTCATGAAGTAAGTTCTTGTCATATTAGTACCAGCCAGTTAACATTAACCATCCGTTGGTCTGTTTGTATGCTCAGATAAGAGATAAACAAGTTAGCTTTCCTGTGACTGAGCTATAGAAATCCCCCTTTTAATAAAATAGATATTTGTTAAAGTCAGGTGATAAAAAGCTGATTCATCTTTTGATAAATGTATAAATTTATCAGCATTCAACTTATATAACTGATAAGCCAACCAAACCATCTCAACAGTTAGTCCTGTTTGATGTTTAATTTTTTGTCATTTAAGTATATCGCCCTGGCATCTTAAAGCTTTCCTGGGGCAAAAGCTCAATAGGAAGTATATTCTAGAAAGTATCTTTCAAAATGCCCACTTCTAAATGTTCATCTGTGATTTGTAAGCTTTTTTTCCTCCCATCTCTGAATACGTTCTGTCCTTATTTTTATATTGTGTTAGAGCTGCTGAAATGGGAGTGCCAAATAAGAAATTTCTGGCTAAGCAAAATCCTTCAGAAACAAGGTGAGAAAAATTAGTTCATCTCAGTGAGAGGCTTTTTTTTTTTTTTAAAGAAAGTTTTATGCATTCCAAACTTGCTCTTCTTAGCTTTGTTCTACTGCATCATAGGTTACTCTTGCCCAGCTGGAGGAACTCAGGCTCCGGTCCTTCTGATGCCTGGTTCTATTCCTGGCCACATGTTGGGTCAGACGTTCCTGGTGCTGTTCATAGGACAGGCCATCTCTATAGAAATTTAAGACTGACGTGTCTTGAGTTCAGACCAGGAGATCTTTGGTACTTGTTTAAAAACCTTAGGAAGCTAACTTAGTACTTACGACTTGTTTTCCACTCATAAAGTGAATGGCTTTTGTAAGGCATATAAGTAAATTTTCTAAAAGCATAAGGGTTTTTGCATATGTTGGACATTGTTTTCCCACTAAAAACCTAAGGTCTGAGCTAAGGTAAGCCAAATAGGAATACCAGATTAATAATACACCTCAGTCGGTCTGCTATGTCTTTGGTAGTATACAGGCCATGTCCTCTTTCATCCATTGAAGGAAAGTGAAGTGGCAAAATAGAATTTGTCTTTTTGAATTAATTTTGTATTTAATTTGTCAACAGAGTTCTTCAGCCAAACCAAGGACAGAACGCGCCTGTTCATAGGCTACTTAGACAAGGGTAAGAATGCCGCACACGTGGGGATTTAAAAATTCAAGTCAGGGTTAGTGTTGAGAGGGAAAAATAATGATGCTGATTTTTGCAGAAAGAATAACTTTTCCACATGTGGTATTTTGTATAGCATTGAGAAGATCTTTGACGTTCTGTCTGCCAAGATAGCTCTCTGTATACTGCTGTGTGACATATTTTAGTTACCATCTTATGTTGGAATGCTTAAACTTTTCACTTCATACCATCGTACTCATTATATATCTTTAAATATTCATACAGTGAGTTTAGCCTCACTAAAGTGATTCTCCAACCAAGTGTGAACCCCGCTTAGTCTCCTGCCAGAAAAAGAATAGCCCTCCTTATTGCATGCCTGAGACCTGGGTTCTTTGCAAACTCACTTATACTGTAATAGCTGATGCAGTGTGGTTGTTTTCTCTGAAGTTTAGACCTCAATGCAAGTGACTTATTAATTTTTTTATATTTAATTAGAACCCCTAAGACATCAGTGAAGGGGGTTGTGCAAAATAGACAGAAGCCTTCACAGAGCAGAGTGCCTAACAGAGCGCCTGTGTCAGGTGTGTAGCAATCGATCCCTGGAGCCCATTCAACACGGGATGTGCACAAGCTGCCCCGTGACTCAGGCTACACTCATGGGACCTGCAGTCTTCCTTGCCACCATAATTTTGGCATATTCACAAACATTCCTAGTTGTGGCCTTTGTCTTCGTACTTTGCGACACGCCAGGAAATCCTGAGAGCTGTGCTACCAATCTTGGTGTCTGTAGTAATTCTATGGCGAACACTGTATTTTTGTATTCTAAAGGTTTTATACAATCATCCAGGCTTACTCAGAAACCTTTTAATAAAGGAGTAGAAGACACCATCTGATGTCCAAATCTATGTGGGTCTGTTCAGCCCTGAGGCAGTGTGTCAGCCAGGAATATTTGTATCTGCACATGATCACAAAATCGCCAGTGAATATGCCAGGGGTGTGGGAGGGAGTTTCAGTTTTCTGCTCTGGAAGAAGCCTGAGCTAACTATCCTGTTTTCCATTTGAGGATAAGAGCAAAGCTAAAACATGTGTTTTAAAATTCGATTTATGGTGGCAAGAAGACAAAATCAATCTTGAGCTAATCCAAAGCTCTTAACCAAGTGTTCTAATATTTTTTTCTATATCTTGGTTAAGACATTTTGATTAAGCTCACTGAAAACTTTTACAATGCTGTGCTTTCACCGTACTGTTTTCTAAACACTTAAAGACAGCTGGAGTCACCAGACAGTGAAGACTAGCCCTTTACTTAATTCTAATCTCCCCATTAATAAACAGGCAAATTTTATAATTATAGTAGTGGTTTCTTCTAAGTTAGAAGAGAGCAAACACTACTATATTATGTAATTTTGTTGTTAGGTAAATTTCCATGTTACCACCATTTGTTCACATAGAGTCCAAGAGGGAACAAGTTAGTAACTTTGAGCTGATTGCTGACCTTTTGCATGTATGTTGTGAACATTATTCATAATGTCACATATTTCTAGGGTAATTTACAAGATCCTCTTGAATCGCTCTGAGTGATGGTCAGTGGATAGCCTGCTTACTCCAGAGGCTGTCACAATCAGCCTGATTTGTAAGAACTTTGACCAAGCCTCAGCTCTGTGGTTTGTGATATTATGTGAGGTTTGAGCTGTTTTTGGTTTTTCCCATGTTGATGCTATATATTGTGATAGATCCTAGGTGGCTGGAAAATCATTTCGGAGTAATTCCTGTCTTGGCCAGTAGTGTCGGCTTGCCACAGTCACTGCTCTCCATGTCCTTTGCTCATGCATCTCATCTCCATGGTGTGTCACTTGTGGGTCTGTGAGCAAGGTGGCAAGTGGCCACCGAGTAGTCCTCAGCACAGCTAATAATGTGTTACGAAGCTTGGTTTTTTTTTTTTTTTTTTTTGGTCTTTTTGAGACAGGTCTCCCTGTAGCCCCAGCTGGCCTGGAACTTGCCTTGTAGACGAGGCTGGCCTCGATCTCACAGAGATCTGCCTGCCTCTGACTCCCAAGTGCTAGGACTAGAGGCCTGTACCACCATGCCTGGCAAATATAATTAGCTCTTGAATAAACATGTATAATTTATATGTTTCTAAACAAATAAAAATTACTGTTTTTCTAAAGGTGTATTAATATATGAATGTACAGACATTTGAATGAAAGCACAGAATTTTATTCTTACATAAACTGAGATTTGACATACTGACCAACTAAAATGCTAACTATGAATCCATCATTGCTCTTAAAAATATTAGTTTACCCTGGCAGATTTCTAATGTCATAGGTTATATTTTAAATAGATTTGAAATTATGCTTGGATCTGTCTACATGGGGATTTTATTAGTAAATCAATTTATAGAAAACTACTGTAGTTTGGTTTTGGAAGGGAGAAGTTCTCACTATAAAGCACAGGCTGGCCTTCAATTTAGGATCTTCTGTGCAGCCTCCCCAGTGAGAATTAGAGGTGTGAGCTCCATATCCAGCTCCAAAACTCATCTTTGTTATGACAGAGAATCTTACTCTAAGACTGAGGCAGAGTTTTCAAGTGCTAAAGGAGAAATATTTACAGTTTTCACAAACTAAACTTCAATCTCTGATGCCATGTTTTAAAAAACCCATTTCCTCACTTGGTGTTATGTGCTTGAGAGCGGGTGTGCAGTGAAGTTCAGAAGCTCTGGCCGGAGCAGAGAGGGGGCAGGTTATGCAGATGGGGGAAGGAAGGTGCACTTGAGCTGAGACCCAAGCTGTGCTCCTAGCTGTTAGCTGAGGCACCTGGTCATCCATGTCTCAGTTCTATTGTCCTTAAAAAGAGAGGAGCAGTTTCTCCCTCAGAGTTAAGTATAACTGTATATTGCTTAGCTCCATGCCTGGTAAATAGTCAGCACTCATTAATGATTGCCTAGAAAATTTCTAATCTTGAGAAATAATATTTCTCTATTTTCAGGAGCATATGCAGGAAAAATCCAAAGAAAGCGGCCAAATGTTGCGACAATTTAAGAAGACAACATTCATTAGGATGAAGTGGGGTGGGGTATGTGTGCTGTTACCCATATGATGTTCCCTGTCCAGGACTTATCACTTAACCCTGGACTCTGTCTACACAGGCAAAGTGATGTCAAGGCTGAGCAGTTAATCTGTATAATTTAGTAGTCTGGCTAATTCCTGCCCCATTTTCCCATTATGGGGAATGATACTTAGCATTAAGTAATTGCCTGGTCTCCGCTTAGCTCATATAAACATATTGTGTGTGTCCAGAGGTCTACAGACACTTTTTATTTTATTTATTTTTTTTGAGCTGAGGACTGAACCCAGGACCTTGGACTTGGTAGGCAAGTGCTCTACCACTGAGCTAAGTCCCCAGCCCCCAGACACCCTTTTTATAAACATAAAAGGACATTTGGACTTACTTTTGCAAAATATTGAAAATATGTCACCAATTGTAAATTAGCACTAAAACCTAAATTTCATTCATGACTACATATTGATTGCTGAATCTGATAGACAAATTACTGTTTTAGTCAAAGGGAAAGTATTGCAGAGTTTGTTTTTCTCCGTTTCTACAATTTGAAACACTCAAGATTCCATATTCTTTGACTTGCAGTACAGCCTCATAGGATAAAACAGTTGCCATACTAAATCCCACACAGCAGTCACATGCAGGCAGAAGCACACATTCCTGTGGACAACTAGTTGTCTTACAGAAATGTTAGGTTGTGTGTATGTTACTGCTAGAAATAGGTAGATGGGATTCTAAGAGCTTTCTTGGAAGGTGGCAAGTTTGGAGAAGGAGCACAGTCTTTGTAAATGTAGCATCTGTGAAGGATGGTAACATCCAGTTCTGGAAATGGGCAGCACGGAGCATGCAGCTGATTTCTGCTTAGTCTGTATATTTTAGTTCTCCATAATCTTTTTCTAGCATGCTAAACAGGAGAAAATAAAGGGCTATTTAATAAGAACTCCAGATTTCATATAGCGTGGTAATGTTGCCTAGTTAAAAATCTGCAGTACTTAAAGGCACCGAGGTATATGGCTTTTCATTACTAACATATTCATTAAATGCACCAACCAACAAATGTTACCAAGACAACATGATTTTATGAAAAAGAATGTTATTTGTCATGTAATTCCAAAAGGGCTTTGTGCTTCTTACATAAATTGGGACTGTCTATTTAATGTTTTTAACTTGAACTTTGAAGAGACTAGTTTTTGAGAATGCAGCCTGTTATATTCTCAGTGTTCTTTTAAGAACTGGGAGATAAAGATTGCTTTCTCTGATTTTCTATTTTATTTGAGATTTAGCTTTTATACCCTGCTGGAGTTACAAAATAATACCTACTCTGGCTATAAACTTGATTTTCTTATTGAAACTTAACCATTTATTGAACCAGAAGATAAGGAGCAAGTCAAAACAGTCCAGGTTCCCAACTTTTTACTTGTAGGAAAGGTGTACCAAATTGTTATCTTTCAAATATAATAAACTGTGCTTTATTGTTCTGAAAACTCAGGATACCACTTACTCATAGCATTGTGAGCCCTTCAGTAAGAAGGAGGAGTTAACCGTTTTGTGTTTGTTAATACAAATTAGTTAAAGAAAATTATAAGTTTTGGAAAAAGTAACAACTACTTTTAGACTAAAGATGAGAAACTGGAGTGTATATTGCTTTTTGACTTTTTTTTTATTTCAAGGTAAAAGTTTGTTTTATATTTGAATGTTCACAGCTTTCTCTCAGAAAAGTGCCAGACACTGTTTTGTGCTTTTGATGAAGTTTTATTTATATATGTTATTTTTATTATTTTTACTTTGACTGGAATGTCTATTAATGTAAATTGTATTTATTTTTATACTTTGATTTTCACTAGTTTTGCTTCTAGACAAAAGGCAAAATAAACTTTTCATCTGAAGGAAATATAGTTGGATTTTGTTTAAAGCCAAGAAAAAAGATGTCTGGGGAATAGATACAGAAGACTATGTGGTCCAAAGAGTGTCTAAGATGGCCGCCTTCACAGCTTACAGTCCTATGACAGGCACACTCTTGTGTGACTGGACAGCTGTGAAGTCCTATGACAGGCACACTCCTGTGTGACAGTGTCTAAGATGGCCGCCTTCACAGCTTATGGTCTTACGAAAGGCACACTCTTGTGTGATTGGACATCTGTGAAGTCCTATGACAGGCACATTCTTGTGTGACGTTGTCTAAGATGGCCACCTTCACAGCTTACAGTCCTATGGCCCTAAGACAGGCACATCCATTTGTAATAGGTGGCCTTTCCCAGTGCTTGGCCTCACCTTTGAGTACTGTCTTTGCTTAGGAGCTAGACACCTGCAGCCACCCAGTAGAGAGGCAGAGGACAGAGGGAATGTTCCAGTGGATGCTCACAGTGAGGCCTTGCATGTTAAGAGCCCTGATGTTAGTCCCTGTTCTCTAGTGTGAACATAGCAAAAGGCCCTGGTTGTCACCTGTTGCTGAAATGTGTTTAGTCATCTGCAAGTCTGAGTGGGAGAGCCACTCGTGTTCCTCTGGCCACTCCTCACTCACATCTACTTCCTGTGCTAGCAGTGGTGATGACCTGCCATCATTGCTGCTCCTGAATTGTCAGAAGTAGGTGTACTGGTTTTAAGATCGAAGGGCCATCCTGGAGATGAAGGTCCTTGTTTCCATGAGAGGTCATTTTCCCATGAGCAGCCTCCAGGCCACCCTCAACCCCCAATGACAAGTAAACAGTTCTAAAAGCAAACAGGGCTAAGGATGTAGCTTAGTTGGTACAGTGGTTGCCTAACTTGCATCAAACCCTGGGTTCTATCCCTAGCACCATATAAATCACCCATGTAGAGTCTAAAACCTTAATAAAGGAGCCCTTGGGATGTGCTGAGATCCCATCCTTAGGCTCTAACAACAACTCTAAGGGCAAGAATTGTTATCTGATCTATCATGTATCAGTTTTTCAAAAAACCTTAAAAATTTGAAGCTGGGATGGGAGATGGCTAAGTGGGTAAAGAGATTGCTGTGGAAACACGAACATCTGAATTTAAATCCCCAAAACCCAGGAAAAAGCCAGACACAGCAGGGCTTGTATCTGTAACCCTATGGGTGGGACAGTGACAGGCAGATCCTTGGGGTTTGCTGGCCAGCCAAGCCAGTCTGAAAGTGAGCTTAGATTTAGTGAAGTACACTATGTTGGAGAGCAACAGAGACAGACACCAGACATTGACCTCTGACCTCCACATGCCCACACATGGGCAAGCATACCTGTGTATACACACGTGCATACAATCACACACAATTAGAATCTGGGTGCAGTGGCTCATGTCTGCAATCTTAGCACCCAGGTGGCCATGGCAGGAGGATCACTGTGAATTCAGGGCCAGCCTAAGCTCCAGAGTGAGACCTGTCTCAAAACAACAAAAACCAATTAGACCTGCTCTCCACTCAGAGCTTCATGACCCTCAGCACTCTGGTGTCTTGACATTGAGAGATGCCACACAACCCATGGTTGGGAGACTCCTTTAGTTATTCATCCCTTCCAGAAACTTAACCCATTTCATGCCAGCTCCCCATTATCTGTTTCATACACAAGATGGACTGGATCTGGCAGTCCATACCATACCTTTTGAGTTACATGGTGCCTCTCCACCCCCAACTGCTACTGTCTCTTGCAAAGGGGCTACCACCAGCAGTGTCTCCTTAGACCATGCTAGAAATGATCAGATGCACCTTCCCAGAGCCTGCATTTTACCATTCCCCAGGCAAGAGGTAAGGGAGCTGCTCTGCTCTGCCATAGATTGCAGTCAGCTGCTAGCTCTGAAAACAAAGTCCACAGGACAACAGCCTGATACTTTCCCCTGCCACATAAAGTGCTGCTGAGCGCTGACCATGACACAGGGATTTTATAATCTCATTTCTCCTAACCGCAAGCTACCCTAATTTCACGGAGGAAGAAACTGGGACCCTGCATAACTCTGTCATAGTAGAAAGTATACTCAATTGCCTTTTCCAAAACTCTTTAAGAAGGTGGTTTTCTAGGGAAAGTGAGGAGCAGACACTGCCTTGCAACATCTCAAGTAATTTCACTGGCTGGCTGCAGTTAATGTTTGAATCCCAGCTCAGGTCTGGGCGCCGTCAAATGCTTTTGAGCTTCTGTTTTCCAAAACCAGGAGATCAGTGGTGGTTAGTCCAGAGGTTTGTAGCCAGAGGGGCTTGCAAAGAGTTCAGCACTCTACCATACACACACACACACACACACACACACAGACACACACACACACACAGAGAGACACACACACAATGCATTTAGAAAACTATCAGTTATTGGATTCGTACATCTTTTTGTTGTTATTTTGAGACAGGGTCTCACAACGCAGCCCTGCTGACTTGGAACTCACTGTGTAGAGGAGGCTGGCCTCAAACTCATCTTCCAGGAACAGCAAAGTTTTGTGGTCAAGATTGGGGTGAAACGTTAACCCCAGTTTCCCCATTTGGTTTAACTGCAGTTCAGTTGCAGTTAATCATCCTCGGACCTAGGTTGTCCTGAGAAGAGAATGCCCAAAGTGTCTCATTCCAAGGAAACAGAGACCCACGCCAAACAGAGAATTAGCTGCAAAATCTGCAGGTTGTTCCTCCGCAGGGGTGTTATGTGTACACGCTTATCTGTCACTAGAGGGCGCAGGTGTGCTAAACTGCCAGCCCGAACTCTGCCCTTCACAATCATGGCGCCGGCGGACCATGGAGCCTGCGTTCTGCAGAGCTGCAACTGCCCCTCACAATCATGGCGGACGAACGCGCCTACGTTCGGGTGGCGGAAGTTGCCCCTTTCAATTATGGCGGATAAAGAAATCTGAGTCTTTAGGATGGAAGTTTCCCTTCACAATCATGGCGGACGACCGAGCCCGCGTTCAGCAGGGAGGAAGTTGCCCCTCACAATCGTGGTGGACAACGAAGCCTAGGTCTTCAGGGCGGAAGTTTGCCCCTTACAATCATGGCGCCAGCGGAGGACCAAGCCTGGACTATGCCTGAAGGCAGTTGCCCCTCACAATCATGGCGGCCACGGCGGGGCGGGGCTTGCCTGGGTGTGAGAAAAGGGCTGGCGGCCTCAGAACAGAGGATCATGTGACTGGGAAGATGGCTGTCTTTCCCTGGTAAGGAGGAACCGGCGAGTGGCTTCGGGAGGGGCTCCGTGGTGGTGTTGGGGGTCTCTGCGGAGTGGGCTGCCCCCCACCCGGGGCCGTCGGGAGCACGCAGAGGTTCCCGGCGGCCTGCCCCTCCCTGCGCCTTCCGCAGCGCCTCTTCATCCCTTTTCCCAGGGAAGCGGTCCCCGGCTTCCCTCTCCCCGGGAGGAGATCGCGGGTCCTGGGGGCACTGGGAAGGGGCGAACCCCTCGGCGTCTGCACCTCTTCTTCCACAAGCTCCGTCTGCCGAGCGCCTTCAGCTGGGTCTTGCAGGATGCATAGGAGCTCACCAAGTCGAAGGGAATAGTGTGTGCCAAAGTGATTGGCTTGTGGGCTTTTTGTGCGGGGGTGGGGGGGGGGGGGGGGTGGCCTTCAGGCTGTAGCAGATGATTTATGTGGGTAAAGAACTCAGGCCAGGTGTACAGGTGTTAATGAGATTGTCTAGGATGGAGACCTTGGGTCTTAGAATTGAGGGTGTTTTTTTGACCTTTCCTTTCAAATGGTTCCCACTAGCTTAGACTGAAGGATGCATGCGTGAGTTAATGTAAGACTGTTGCGGCCCTGCACCTTGAACTTGATCAGGCTCGACCTTCTGGCTTTACGTTGGGCAGTTTGCTTCCCCCATTACCGCCCCCTGCAGACACTTAATAGACCATTTCCAGGAAACGGTGTGTCAGCATTGAATGCTGATGGTCTCCTAGACCATGCCCTAGGCTTCCTTCTGCTCCTTGAGCAGAGGCTCTTTGAGAACCAGTAAGACTGAAGAATCCAACAAATGAGACGCCCCTGGGCTCAGTGAACTGGAATTTGTCGTGAGAGACTCCAGGAAGATGCTGTTTAGCTCCACACCGTACTACACTTTTATGTTTGATATTTTTATCTTAAATTACCACCAGGGGCTGGAGGGATGGCTCAGGGGTTAAGAGCACTGACTGCTCTTGTAGAGGACCTGGGTTCCAATCCCAGCATCAACATAGCAGCTAACAACCATTGTAATTCCTGTTCAGGGGATCCAATGCTCTTCTGGCCTCTGAGGACATTGTACAACAGGGATGCACTTACATAACACTCATACACAATAAATAAATAATAAATGTAAATTACCCCACAAATCCATTAACATTTAGGGTCTTCCCTAATTGACAGATGTTAAACATTTCTCTGTGTGGTAGCACATACTCATCTTTCAGTTTCCTGACTCGGACTTCCTGTTCCTTTAAAAATGAGAGACTGGCTAGGCATGGGGGGCACACACCCTTAATCCCTTAATCCCAGCACTGGAGAGGCAGAGACAGGTGGATCTCTACGAGATCTCAGATTGAGGCCAGCCTGGTCTACATAGCGAGTTCCAGGCCAGCTGAGGCTACAGGAAGCCCCCGTCTCAAAAAAAATCCCAAATAAAAATTAATTAGGCAGAATGCATGGAGTAGGTGGGGGTGTGGGGTGGGAATGAGGATGGGGATGGTAGCGGCACTACAGCTGGGATGCAGTAGGGGAGAGAGGTTGGGTTTCACTCCAACTAAAACGAGGGGATATCATAGCCAGGGCCATTGGTCTGGCAGGTAGGAAGTTGCCAAGAGGAAACAGCAGGTAAAGTCCTGAGCAAAGGCTCTGGGTAACCACCTGAGGGCTTCTTGCTGAAGTGCCGCACAACAGCTGGGATGTCTCTTCCACCTCCCACTGGGGCAGGCTCTGGCTATGTGTATGGCCTTTTCTCCAGCCCTTCATGTCTTGGGGTTCCTTTCTCTGTACTTTTCCTCCTTCCTCTCTACACAGTCTGGCTTCTTCCTCCTCTCTCATTTTCCCTCCCACTTACCATTCTTTTGCTAACCCTGAGCTGATGCTGTTGCTCCTCATCTCCTGTTTTCTTGCTTTCCCTCTTGCAAATTCCCAGGCTGGGCTTCCTTGCCTCTTTCCACCCCTCCCTTGGCATACCTGCAAGCCCAGTCTATAGAACTCCTGAGTCCTGTCGCTGTCCAGCTCCTGCAGGTTTCCTCCAAGCCCTGGCTGCCCAGCCTCCTCACAGCCCTCTGTAGACCCCATGCCAAGATTTGGCCAGTGGTCTGGAAGACAAAGGTCCAGACACTTCTCTTGGTGAGGTCCCTTTGAACTGGGTCTGACCTCACACTTCCGTCATCTGTTGGCAGGACTTGAACCTCCAGACAGATGTAAATTGTTTTTATTGGGCCAAGGTACAGCTTCGTAGAATGCTTACTTAGCATACTCAAAAAGTTTTGGGTTTGATTCCTGGCAAACCCAAATGGGGTGTGGTGGGGTAGTAAGGGCTTAGTAAGTACAGGTATGAGGATCAGGAGTTCAGGGTCTTGTTCAGGTACCTAGTGAGCTTTAGGTTAAGCTGGACTACATAGTGAGATCAAATAAATAAATAATAGAATAAGTTTTATGTTGTTCTTGCTAGTAGTATGGTATCAAATGGTGCCCAAATTGCTCAAGGGAGTCTAGGTAACAGTTCGGGGTCCTAGCCCCCGACTTGGGCTCATCTACCTGGAGTCACCTAGTGTCTTTTCATTCATAGGCACTCCCGGAACAGGAACTACAAGGCGGAGCTGGCATCCTGCCGGTTGGAGGCAGTGCCCTTGGAGTGTGGGGACTACCACCCACTGAAGCCCATCACTGTGAGTTCTGCATAAGCTCCCGACAGGAAGACCTGGTCCCCCAGGCCACATGCAAGGCTTGGGGCAACGGCTTTTGCATATCTGAATCAACAGTCTGTCCTTTCCCCCTCTCAGTAGGATGTTTGCCTCCCGCCCCCATTTTTCCTCCCACTGTGGGATCACTGTAGGCAAAGGGTGAGGGCTCCTGATTTGGATGCACCAGCAAACTGCATCTTCCTAGTCTTTCTATTGAACCGGTAAAACCACCAGCCACCAAGGGGTGAGGCTCTCCCGAAGAGCGTCTTAGGCTGTTCAGTTAAAATGAAAGCGGATCCTCTTTGTCCCTCTCTGCTGGGCTAGCACTTTAAAAAAATATATTTTATTATTTTTATTTTATATATTATGAATGTAGTGCCTGCATGTATGTGAGTGTACCTGTGTCGTGCAATGCTGCAGAGGTCAGAAGAGGGCTTCAGATTCCCCTGGAACTGGAGGTTCGCAGCTGGCATGTGGGTGCTAGGAATCGAACCCGGGTCCTCTGCAAGAGCCATCAGTGTTCTTAACCACTGAGCCATCTCTCCAGCCCCCGGGCTAGCACTTTTATTAGCAAGTAGAGTTGCCTCTTGTCCCTTGGTGCCCTCAGTCTCCGTGGACATCAAAATCCTCTGACTCTCAAGGCACTTCCATAAAATTTGCATACAGTCTCCATATATCCTACCACCAGCTTTATATCATGTGAGGGCTGGGTGTGCTAGTGCACGCCTGTCGTCCCAGCACGTGGAGGTGAAGGCAGGAGGATCAGAAGTTCAGGGTCATCTTTGGCTATGCCTAGCAAGTCCAAGGCCAGCCTGGACTACATGAGACCCTGTCTCAAAAAAAAAACCAAAACAAGTCTCTGTTATTCATAATGCAGAGTCTGTGCCAGCGCTACACTGAGAGTTCTCACACTGTAGTTGAGAAGTGACCAGTGGGCCGTAAATGCCCAGTTGTGATGTGGTTTTTTTTGGTGGTTCTGTGGATTGGACCCAGGATCTCACAGATGGGAGTCAGTGCTAATCAAATGCTCTGCCACTGAAGCACACCCTGGACAGATGCGAGTTTAACTGAATATTATCAACACACAGTCTTCGGACCTTGGGCACTGAGGACCAGCCACGCTGTGATTCATGAGCTAGACCACTGTGGCCAGGCTGATGATGTGGAGGCCTTGTTAGGAAAGCAGATTCTTGTGGCCTGGAGGTGGATAGAGTCCAAGAGTCTCTGTCTCCTTTGAGCTCCAGGTGACAGGCTTCTTGTTTGGGGACCTCACTTTCAGTAATAAGGCTGAGTGGGCACAGTTACAAGCAGATTGTAGTGGTGTTCATCTGTAGCCCCAGCATTCAGGAAACTGAGGCAGAAGGATCATGACTTAGAGCCAGCCTAAGCTGCATAGAGAGACCCTACCTCAAAACACCAGCAAAACCCAGCCTTGTGTGGTAGCTTGTGATATCCAGCACTTGGGCTGTGTAGTGAGTTCTAGACCAATCTGACTTACCTGGTGAGGTCCTGTCTCAAAAACAAGCAACGAAACCAAACTGTGAACACAGGCATTTTACTAAAATGGAGACAAAGTCTTTTTTCTGTGTTCTCAGTCCTCTGCCACCAGCTGTGTCTTTCCATACAGTTCTGATGGTGGTCCAGACAGGAAAAGACCAGGTGTCCTCCTCTCTGTTCACAGTCCACACATAACGTGGGGGCCGGGGGGGGGACAGGGGTCTGCCTTAATTCACTTCAGTTCTCACTGTACCTGAGATAACTTGCACAAGACCCCACAGCAGAGGCTTTATCCCACAAGACCACCCCAACCTAAGTCACCTAGGACAAGTACAGGTTGTGCCCTGTGCCTCTGACCTCTAACTCCTTCTGCCATCACTCCTCAGGTTCCATTAATATGCTGAGACAGTGCCCAGAGCTCAGGGAAACCCTCCTGTAGAGGATGGTGCCAGAGACATTGTTGCTGGATTAGAGTGTAGGGGAGACCCTGAGCTTCCCTGCCCTCTAGGCCCAGCCTTCCAGCTACCTCCATGTGTCCTCGTTCACCATGACAGACAGTGGTCAAGATGATTATAAAGTCCATTGCTGGTTCTCCTGCTCTCCCTGGAGGATGGGAGAGAGGCCAGAAGCTCCTAGTTCCTTAGGCATGGCTTGGTCTTCTTGGGGACCAGGGACACTTAGGAGCCCATGGAAATTTGCCTCTTAGAACAAAAACTATTCCTATCTCCCAGGATTCAAAGTTTAGGAGCTTTGTAAGGGTCCAGGGGCAGAGACCAAGCCTGTAATTCTTATTATGTTAGTATTATCTAAAGACTGGCTCTTCTGTTGAAAGATAAACTGAGGGACATTGAAGTCTTAATGATTATTGTTTGAACCTTTAGTAGGTCATGAATTGAGCAGCTCCAGACCACAGTGATCCAGGGCTCCAGTGCAGAGGCATGATAGGAAAACTCATAAACTGTTCCCAAAACCAAGTAAAGCTGGATGTGTTGCATGTCTTTAATCTCAGCACTCAGGAAGCAGAGGCAGGCATATCTCTGTGAGTTCTAGGCCAGCCTGGTCTACATAGTGACCATAGTGTCTCAAAACAAAAAAAACAGACAAAAAACCAAGCCAAGAAAATGACTGGTTAGGGGGCTGAAGAGATGCCTCAGAAGTTAAGGGGTGGCTCACAACTGACTTCACCTTCAGGGTATCCAATGCCCTCTTCTGGCCTCGGCAGGGACCCATACTCACACACAGGCCCACTCATGCACATAAATAAGATTTTAAATCTTGAAAAAGAAAAAGATAAGGAATGATTTGGCTAGAACTTCCCACTCTAGGGGTTGGTTGACTGTTTCTGATTGGTGGTCTGTAGGTAGAGGGTAGTTGAGGGTTTCCTGGTTCTGATTGACTGTCTGTAGGTAGCAGATAGTCCGTGGTTTCTGAATCATTCATTTGTGCTTTGAGTGGGCATTGGGGTCTGTTTTGCTTTGCTCCCTTGGGAAATTTTGGTTGTGGAACTGTCGTGGTCCAGTGGCCTCTGATCACTTCAATATCACTATTTTGGGAGCTGAGAATTGAGCATGCTAGGCTACATCCCCAAGCCCCAAATGACTTTGTAAACATTTCCCAAGTCTTACTTCCTGCCTTGCATTCCTCCCTAGTTTTGATTCCTTGTCATATCAGTTTGTCACAACACATAAGCATCTCCCGTGGGTTGATAAACCTCTGCCGCAAGCAACTAATAATCCAACTTCCACAGCAAGAGGAAAGGACCTGCTTGAGTGTCCACTGGGGCGGGTCCCAGGTGACCTCCACTGTACAACTTTCTCCACAGGTCACTGAGTCAAAGACAAAGAAAGTGAGCCGGAAAGGAAGCACTTCATCCACGTCCTCCTCCTCCTCCAGCTCTGTGGTTGACCCGCTCAGCAGCGTCCTTGATGGCTCCGACCCCCTCTCCATGTTTGCAGCAACTTCAGACCCTGCAGCCATGGCAACAACCACAGTAAGTCACCCCGGCCAGTAATAGGCCTCTCAGGTGTTGGGTCCTGCATGAAGGTATGTGGTTAAAAGTTACAGAAACAGGGCCTGGAGAGATGGCTCAGTGGTTAAGAGCACTTACTGCTCTTGCAGAGGACCCGGGTTTGATTCCCAGCACCCACATAGCAGCTACAAACTGTCCTTAACTCCAGTTCCAGGAGACTCCAAAGCCTTCTTCTCACCTCCGTGGCATTGCATGACACGGGTGCACTCACATATATGCATGCAGTACACTCATACACACACACACACACACACACACACACACACACACACACACAAAATAATAAAATATTTTTTTAAGAAATTGCAGAAACAATGCCTTGGGGCATTCTGCCTGTGACATCCAGATGCCCATGGACTTCTGTTTGAAGAATAGGACATTGCCTGAGAGGGACTGGGGGATCTGTAGACTCTCTTCCCCCAGATATTTATTTATCTTATTTTTTTGTTTTGTTGAGTCAGAGTCTCAGATAACCCAGACTGGCCTCAAACTTACTATATAAAGTGAGAGGGGGCTTGAATTTGTCATCCTCCTGCTTCACGTCCCAATAGCTTGGATGACAAATTTGAGCCACCATGGCCAGTTTATGCAGTGTTGGGGATTTAAGCCCTGGGTTTTGGCAAGCTAGGCAAGCCCTCTATCAGCAGAAGCACATCTCCAGGCCCCAGCCCCTTGGCAACCACATCTCCAGACCCCCAGCCCCTTAGCAACCACATCTCCAGGCTCCAGCCGCTTGGCAACCACATCTCCAGGCTGCTAGCCCCTTGGCAACATTTTTTTTTTTTTCTTTTCTTACTTGACAGTGTGATTTAAAGACTTTTCCATATTGTGACCTTATTATTTTTCCTGGCTGCCTTATATTCTCAGGAATGGGTGTTTGGTACTCTAACTCACCCTTCTGTTGGTATACACAGTTAAGTGGGTTTGCTGAAATTAACAGTACACCAGTCTCTTAAGCATACACACCTCGTGATTCCTGTGTGCAGAGGTCTCTGCAGGAGCACTTCCTAGAAGCTCCCTACTGGGTGAGGGCAGGATGTGTGTGGTTCTGAGGGCTGCCACCAAAGTCATCCTGAAAGGGAGGTCTCCCGCCAGCAATACTAAGCCCTACCTGTTTCCTGCATTGGATATTAATGATCATTTTAACTTTCTGCCACTTAGACATTGAAAAATGGACTCTTTTTCAGTGTGTTTATATATATTTATAAATATAGGTTTTTTTTGTTGTTTGTTTTTGGTTGTGACAGTTCAGGACATCTAGGGTCTGCCTCAGTATGTAGACCAGGCTGGCCTTGAACTCACATAGATCCACCTGCCTCTGCCTCCCAAGTGCTGGGACTACAGGCGTGTTCCACCACGCCTGGCTTCTATTTTTATATTTTGTAGAATTTTATTTATTTTGCCTGTGTATATGCTCTGTATATGTGTGTGTGTGCGTGTGTGTGTTTGCATATGTGCATGGGCGTGCATGGTGCTTGGAGGCCAGAAGTCAACAATGAAGTCTTCACTTTAGTTATTGATACGTTGAGGAAGGGTCTCTCAGACCCAGAGTTCAGGAATTTGGCTAGCCTAGCTAGCCAGCTTGCTTTGGGGGATACTGTCTCCTCCTCCATGTCTCATGAGCATGAGGACCTGAGTTTGATTTCCAGAACCCACATGAAAAATCTGGGCATGGCAGTACTCATTTGTAATTCCAGGCTTAGGAGGCAGAGACAGACAGATCCCTGGGGCTCGCTGGACAGCTAGGTTAGTCTAATTGGTGAAGTCTAGGCCAATCAGAGACCCTGGGTCAAAGGAGGTGGGTGGTGCCTGACCTCAGTTCTACACACACATGCACTCATAGGCATTCATGCATTTAATACAAAAGATACTGCTGGGGTTGGAGTGTAGCTCAGGGGTAAAGCGCTTGCATAATGTGCTCAAGGTCCTGGGCTCCCTCCTCAGCACCATGAGAAACCAGTGATGTTGACAAAAATGCTTCTCCTGAAGAAGTTGTCTTGCCCCCTCAGGACATCTCCAGAAAGAAACGTGACAAGGACGACAACTCCATCGTAGGCTCTGATTTCGAGCCTTGGGCCAACAAGCGGGGAGAAGTCCTTGCCCGGTACACGACCACAGAGAAGCTGTCTATTGTGAGTTCCCAGTTCCACGTCTGGATCAGCACCCGTTCCTGGGCTCTGCAAGTTTCTTTTTTATGTCAGTGTTACTTGGAAGAAAGTGCACTGATTAGTCCCTCAAAAAAAGAAAAAGCAGTATGTTAAGAATTAGAGTTGTGGGGGCTGGAGAGATGGCGCAGTGGTTAAGAGCACTGACTGCTGTTGCAGAGGACCCGGGTTCAATTTCCAGCACCCACATGATGGCTATGAACCGTCCTTAACTCCAGTTCCAGGGGAATCCAAAGCCCTCTTCTGACCTCCAAGGCATTACATGACGTCTGTGAGCCGTCCTTAACTCCAGTTCCAGGGGAATCTGAAGCCCTCTTCTGACCTCCAAGGCATTGCACTGCATGAGTGCACTCACTTACATGCAGGCAATACACTCATACACATAAAATAAAAATAATAAATAAAATATTTTTTTAAAAAAGAGTCAGAGTTGTGGCAGAGTTCAGAGGAAGAACTGGGAATGTAGACCCCTTGGGGAAGGGTGAGTTATGAAGAGAGCACCTCAGGGGAAGAAGACGGGGTGCTGCTCCCTCCATGTGTCTCACTTGACTGGGTTTCCTCTTGGAGCCAGAAGAAGCTCATTCTTGCTTAGAGTGGCTGGTGGGTGAAGTAATTGGCTGTGCCTAGGGTGTGTGCCTTCCCTCGCCCTGAGCAAGTTACTCCCATTGGGAAAGGCCTTACTGTGAGGAGGGGGCCAGAGGCGGGGGTCCATGGCTGGGGTGGTAGCTCCAAGGTCCATCCAGTTCTTTCTCTTTTGCTGCTCTGCTGTTTCTAGTGTTGCCTCATGCCCAAGTTGATAGAAGAAGGAAAGAACAGTGTAGCCCCTCCTATCTCGGGAGGCCTCCTGGAGGCTCTCTAGCACCTCCAGTTCCACTGGTCTTGGAGGTGGTCATGAACAGCACATAGCTGTAAGGGAGGCTGAGCAGTATAGCTTCATGCACCTGTTTGTTGGGGCTGTGATGGGTAAAAAAGGTAGCTACTGAGAAGCTCTGCCCCACGTCGTCTCTTCCCTTCCTCTTCCACAGGGTGTACTAAGCAGGATGACTGCAGAACTGCTCAACTATGCAAATTGTTTTTCTCCTGTTTTCTCTGAATGCATAGAGAAGTAATTCTTTTTTTTCTTTTTTTTTTAACTATTTTTATTTTTTGTGTGTATTTTGTCTGCATGTATGTTAGTGCACCTGTGTTGTGCAATGCCTGCAGAGGTCAGAAGAAGGCATTGGATCCCCTGGAACTGGAGTTAGAGATGGTTGCTAGCTGCCATGTGGGTGCTGGGAATTGAACCCCGTTCCTCGGCAAGAGCAGCTCAGTCTTAACCACTGAGCCATCGCTCCAGCCCCAGGAAGTAGTTCTTTTTGTTGTTGCTGTTCTTTTAGAGACAGGGTCTCCCTGTATCCCTAGCTGGCCTGGAACTTGCTATATAGACCAGGATGATCTTGGCCTTCGAACTCACAAAGATCCACCTGCCTCTGCTTCCCAAGTGCTGGAATTAAAGGTGTGTGCCACCACACCTGGCAGAAAGTAATTATTTTATTTATTTATTTATTTATTGTTAAATTTATTTATTTATTTTTTATTTTTTTTGGTCTTTTTGAGACAGGGTCTCCCTGTAGCCCCAGCTGTTGTAGAACTCACTATGTAGACCAGGCTGGCCTTGAACTCACAGAGATCTGCCTGCCTCTGCCTCCCAGTGCTGGGATTAAAGGCGTGCACTACCACGCCCGGATAGGAAGTAATTCTTAATCAGCAGTCATTTTAAGTAAGGGTTGTTTGGAAAGTCAAGTTCTTTTTGCTTGTCACAATTCTGGGGGTGCTCTTAGCATGTAATGGGTAGAAGCCAGAGAGGCTACAAAACCCCACAGTGCACAAGCTATACCCTACAAAGTAGGGCTCTTCAGCCCTCAGAGGCAGAAGCCTTGAAACTGATTCAAGGACACTCAGAATGGGTCTATTATATTGTGCTGCTGGCATATCAAAATTTTTACTCTTTGTTGACTGAATTGCAGAGCTCCAATGTGAATTAAAATTTGGATCTTTATATTATTTTCTAGTAGCCCACATCTTCCTTCCTTGAATATATACTCAGTCTTTCATTTGGTGATATAACTGGCTTTGTTGGCAAACCATGACCATATCGCCTTAGATTTAAAAAAAAAAAAAATCAAGCCGAGCATGGTGGCACACACTAATCTCAGCTCTTGGAGGCAGAGGCAGGGGGATCTTTGTGAGATCAAGACTGAGGCCAGCCTGGTCTAAATAGCAAGTTCTAAGCCAGCTAGGGCTACAGGGAGACCTGTCTCAAACAAAAAGTAACAAAAAACCAAAAATCATTGTTTGTCATTGTTCTTTGTCTCTGCAGAATCTGTTTATGGGATCAGAAAAAGGTAAGACGAGTGCTTGTTGTTTTAATTGGGAAACCGTGTCTTAATACCATTCACCAAGGAAGTTTGTATTATGCAGCAGTCATGGTGTTTAAATGCACTTGAAGGCTGTAGATTGTGTCTAGATGTAGGACAAAAATACATACTTAGAACATTAATAAAGAAAGACTAAAGCTTTTCTCAGGAGGAAAAGACAGGCTTCCTGGTCGACCTGTAGGAACCAGCTAGGGATGCTGTGGACCCTGTGTTTGTAAATGTGCATGCACATATGTGCTTGTGGAGGCCAGAGGTTGACACTGGGTATCTTTCTCATTTTCCACCGTATTTCTTGAGACAGGGTCTCTCACTGAACTTTGAGCTCACTGATTGAGCGAGACTGGCTGGCCAACAAGCCCCAGGGATTCTAAGTTGGGTCCTCATGTTTGTGTCGCATACACGTGACTGTCTGAGCCATTCCCCAGCCCTTTAGGCTCTTTCCTTTGTCTTGATCTTTGACCCTTGGGAAAAAGCAGAGGTACTGGAGAGGGGTCACGTGCTCAGTCTTACTGGCCTTTGGTCCTTAGACACTTGGAGGTATAGACAGGAGGGTTTTAAGTTCGAGGTCATCCTCAGCTACATAGAAAATTCAAGGCTAGCTTGGGTTATGTGACACCTGGTCTCAAAACAAAAAAATCCAACCCCTAAGGGCACAGAGATGGAGTCCTCATGACTGGGAAAAAGTAGAAACAAGCTAAAATAGGTAAATTATTTAGAATCCTACTTATCATAGTTATAGTTTGAATCTGGAATGTTCTCCATAAGGTCATATTTGTGTGTGTGCAGGGGGGAGTATGTGTATGTACATGGTCCGTGTGTGTGTGTGTGTGTGTGTGTGTGTGTGTGTGTGTAGTGTGCTTCCTGTACATCACTATGCAGAGGCCCGGAGGAGGCAGGCCAGGGGAGAACATTAGGTGTCCTACTCTGTCTTTCAATGAACCTAGAGCTAGGCTGTATGTGGGGTTCACCTTTCTAGGACCACCTGCGCTGTTTCTAGGAGCAGCTGCTGGGTGGGGAAAGCTTCAGCCACATGGGGAAGTGGCTTTCACAGTCTTAGCATGTTCTGAGGTGAAGTTTCCTGGCAACTTTGTTCGTGGTGATCTGGTGTGAAAGAGGCCTTCCATGCTGGGCACTGGTGCAGGACAGTGCCTGTGTGACCTAAGTCTCTCCTGTGTAGGCAGAGCTGGGGCCTCGGCATCTGCCATGTCAGAGAAGGTTCGGACACGGCTGGAGGAGCTGGATGACTTTGAGGAGGTGAGCAGGCTGCAGGGGAGGCACAATGTGGCGAGGCACGTTGTGCAGGGCGCCCTTTGGCCCATTTGCCAAGTGAGGCCAGGCTTGATGGTCAGTCTGACAAAGCCCAAACTGCACACTTTGCTTGGTCTCCTAGGACCCTGACTCAGTCCAGGGGAAGATGCTAGAGCACAGTGACCAGTCACACAGAAGCCTGGTATGAGCTGGGTTTTCTACAGGTCTCTTTTCTCTTCCTGAAGCCTGAATGATCCCTCTGTCATCTAGGGACAGTGTCCAGCAGTAAAAACACAAGTGCACTCACCCCCTAACAAGCAGCTCGCGTAGCACAGAGGTCATACCTCACAGCAGAGTTTCCACAGGGCTGGTTTGCTGGCTGGATGTGGCCCCAGGACTCCTGTAATTGGCTTGTGTATGCTTTGAAAACCTGGCTTGTTTGCCAGTTCTTAAAAATTGGTAGATTTGGGGCTGGGGAGATGACTCAGTCAGTGAAGTGCTTGCATGCAGGCATAACAGCCTGTGTTTAATCCCTAGCACCCACATAAAAATTCTGGGGTGTATTTGTGCACACATGTAGTCCTAGGTCTGCAGAGGCAGAGACAGGCAGGTCGGTGGGGTTTGCTGGCCAGCCAGCTTGGCCTAATCAAAGAATTCTGCTTCCTGACCTATGATTTGTGTCTTCGTAGAATCTGTTGCCCAGGCTGGACCCAAACTCTGATTAAAGCGTTCTCCTGCTGCAGCCTCTGGGATAGCTGGGAACACAGGTGCCACCACTGTGGCCATCCCATCAAGCATCCATCTCTGTGTTCATGTCTCCCTGACCATTGGAACCTTAAGCTTCACTGATGCAGGAAGAACATGTTTTTCCTGAACACTTTGAAAACATCTTATATGAGAACCAAGCCAGGCACACAGTAGGTCCAGCTTGGCACACAGTAGGTCCCCAGGATGTGAGTTCTGGTGTCCCATCCAGTGGCAGCTCAGGATCACAGCTCTTGTTAGTGGTGGGCTGGCTGCCTTCTCAGCCTCTGTGCTCAGGACAGAAAATCCTCTGTTGCAGGACAGAGCTGTTAGGCCTGGAGTGCAGGGTAGGGTGCAGATGAGGAATGCTGAGAGGCTAGTACCCAGCCACTCTGTGTGGAGGAGGTGGTCAGATGGGCTTCTCCTTTTCCTTCTGTACCCACATTTGTGCCTTCCACCCACAGGGATCCCAGAAGGAGCTATTGAACTTGACCCAGCAGGATTATGTGAACCGCATAGAGGAACTCAACCAGTCGCTAAAGGATGCCTGGGCCTCCGACCAGAAAGTGAAGGCTCTGAAAATTGTCATCCAGGTCAGGCCTCAGGAGGTTTTAAGCCTTCCTTGAATTTTTCTACATAAATCTTCTCTTAATTTTGTTCTTCTGAGGCCTACCTTGGGGTCTTACACCCACTTATTTATTTCAGATAAATTTTCATAGATTTCCTTTAAAAACCTATGGTTATGAATGTTTTTATGACGTGACTAATCCCAGGCCTACTGTGTACAGCTGCGCAGGTTGTGCGTGATTCCAGGAAGTGCTGTGGCTGTAGATTACAGACTTAATGGTACCCCTGGGGCTGTGCAGTACACTGCCCTGAGACAGCTGCTAACACAGTCATGATTTGTGCCCCAACCAGGTTCATTGGCTTGGAATCTTTGGGATTAGTGGTGTGTGTGTCGCTGATACACATTTTAAAGACATAATTATATGATAAGGAAAGCACATTCATACTGTTAGGTGAAGTGCTTTTAGCAAATCCTCTTAGTTGATTAATTTGTTGATCTACTGATGGCTTTTGGTCCTGTAAGTAAATGGTTTTTTTTTTTTTTTTTTTAATTTTTATTATTTTTATTTTATGTGTATGAGTATATTGCCTGCATGTATGTAAGTGCACCCATGTTGTGTAATGCCCACAGAGGTCAGCAGAGGGTGTTGAACCCCTGGAACTGGAGTTAGGGTCAGTTAGCCACCATGTGGATGCTGGGAAGCAAACCTGAGTCCTCTGCAAGAGCAGCCAGCGCTCTTAACCGCTGAGCTGTCTCTCCAGCCCCCAAAAGTTTTTTTTTTAAGATTTATTTTTATATGTGTGTGTGTGTGTGTGTGTGTGTGTGTGTAAGCATGCCCATGGCCAGGAGATGGTGTTAGATCTCCTGGAGGCCAGAAGATGGTGTCACATCTCCTGGAACTGGGGTTACAGGTGATTGTGAGCCAAGAGCTCTTAACTACTCAGCCATTTCTCCAGCTTCACGAAAAGGTTTTATTATACTCTTTGGCCCTAAAGACCTTCCAATCTTGGCAAAAAGTGCTAGAGTCAGAGGCTGGCAATGTAGCTTAGTTGGTAGAGTGCTTACTTAGCTGCATTGTGGGTGCTGGGAACCAAACCTGAGTCTTTTGGAAGAGCAGCCAGTGCTCTTAACTGGTGAGCCATTTCTCTAGGCACCTCCACCCTTGTTTCTTGTAAGAGAGGTTGACTGAGCTAGGAGTGTTTGCACATAGCTCTTGGAAGTGTTTGAAAGATGATTCCGTGTGTGACAGGGTGGTCTTTGCTGGTGTCTCTTCTGTCTGTTGTTTACAAAGGGAATCCTTCCAGAGGAAGGGCCTCATCCTGCCTGCAAGTCGCCAGCACCAGTAATCAGATCTCAGAATCCTCAAGTTCAGCTAGCTGCAGGTATCTGCACCACACAATAGCAACAGCAGTGTGACTCCACGGAGGCCATTTGACTTGGAGGAAGGCATTAAGCAGTATCTGATTGACTCCTTATCTGCCGAACCAAAGTTTTGCTTGCTTTTGGAGGCTACTGTAAGATAAAGGCCTGGCTTGTAGGCAAGTGAGCAAGGACCCCTTGTGGGCTCTGCGGCGGGCATTTTGGTTTTGGTAGTGCATTTATTTGCCTAGCATGCTGGAGAACCTGAGCTCCATCCCCAGGCCTGAAACTTCCAGCTTCCCCACACTGTAAGCATATGCGCCCATGACTTTGGACCCAGCATACTGCTGCAAGCCTCTAATTCCAGCATTGGGGAGACTGGACCTGGAGAATAGCAAGTTCGAGATCAGCCTGGGCTGCATATTAAGACCCTATCTCCTCAAACAAAAGAAATACAATGATTGTACTAAATTTATAGTTATGTAAGTATCCCACACAATCCAGTTTTAGAACATTTTCGTCACCCTAGTTCCCTTGAGCCTGTGTGCAATCAGACCCGGCCACGTTCTGCACAGAATACCACAGGCCTGTCTTCCGCCTGTATTCATGTCTCTCCTAGACATTTTATTGTGTGGGCTCATGGTGCACATAATCTTTCCCATTTGTTTTTTTCACTTAGCTGAACATTTTGAAGTTCATCTGGTGTCGCCTGAGTTCTCTCAGGGTCTCTTGTGTTATCAGACAAACCATATAACATATCTTTATGTGAATTTTTCATTTTATATCTTGGGTAGGGAGGGGGGAGATGGAGGAACTTAAAAGAAATGAACACCTGACACCCAGCACCCAGCTCTGTGTGGCTCAGCCTGCTGGTCCAGATTGCTTCTGTGCCTGCCCACAGTCTCCATTAACTTTTGCCCCCCACGTGGTAAATGCTCCCTCTTGTGTCCCCATGGGTGAGACACCTGGCCTGGGCCATCTTTATCTTTCTCTCCGTGACCGCAGCTGCTGCACGCCGTTTGCAACTTCCGTCCCAAGATGGTGCCCAGAAGCCCCTCCCTCCGTGGCTAATTCTCTGCGGTCAGTCTGTCAGTCTCCACACTTTGGAGGAACCAGGTCCCTGGGACACATCTGGATTGTGCTGTGTATAGATGCTGTGTTCCCTTTTACTGCTGTATTGTATGGCATGTGTAACTGCATTCTGTGTATCAGTCAACAGTTGATGATGTTCAGTTGGATCTGTTCTCATTGTAAATAATGTCACCACAGCACGACTTGCATACTGGTTTGTTTGTGCGGCTGTAACATGTCTCCAGGGTAGATTCCTGGGAATGGAACTACTGAGTCAGATGGTGGATTTCTATTTTGCTTATTGAGAAACAGCCAGACTGCTTTCAAAAATAGCTGCACCACTTACGCACGTATCAGTGGTACATAAAGATGCCAATCCCTTCATGGTCTGCTGCGCTTTCTTGTCTTGTGTGTGCCATAGCACACGTGTGGAGGTCAGAAGACAACTCTGTGTCTGGATCTTCACCTTCTACCTTGACAGGGTCTCTTCTTGTGCCTGCTCAGCCATATTCGGGTTTTCTCCTTTCTCCCCATCTCTGTAGACTCGAGTGCTGGGGTTATAAGCACGTTCGGATTCAGAGGCTCCGGTGCTCCCTTCTGTGGCAAGCTCTTTACCCACTGAGCCATCTCCTAACCCTTCTCCACCCTTTTTTTTTTTTTTTCTTCGCTCTTTTTGAGATGGGGTCTCTCTCTAGCCCCAGCCGGCCTGGAACTCACTATGTAAACCAGGCTGGCCTTGAACTTGCATAGATCCCCCTGCCCCTGCCTCCCACATGCCCAGCTTTCTCCCTCTTTTTAAAAGAACCAGCTTGGGTTCTCAGGGCTTAGGGCGGTGTCTCATCGCAGGTCTGCTTTTGTAGCTCCAATGATGATGCCTTTGTCCTCACTGACCGTGTCAGTGTCTTTCATTACATGGTTATGGCTCATCCTCTTGTTGAACTATAACAATTTTTCATGTGCGTATGTGTACATGTACTATTTGTTTGGTTTTTGCTTTGTCTTTTTGAGACAGGGTCTCCCTGTAGTCCCAGCTGTCTGGAACTCTATGTAGTTGTCTGGCCTCAAACTCACAGAGATCCGCTTGCCTCTGCCTCCTAAGCGCTGTGCCTAAAGCTGTGTGCCACCACGCCTGACCTTTAGTTTGTTTTTTTATTTAGTGCTAGGGATTGAAGCCAGGATTTTGCACATGTGAGGGAAGCTTTCTTTCACCGCAAACATTTACCTGTCCCCACATCTGAGGCAAGCTCTCTACCACTAAGCTGCAGCACCTTACCTGTCCCTACATGTTCCTTTTGCTTGTTTGATTTGGAAGAAGGGTTTTACCATTTCCCCAGCACTAGTTTTTGTTCTTTTTCAAAATCATTTTGTTCATTCTGGTTCATTCCATTTCTGTATGGATTTAGGGATCAGGTTGTCAATTTCTGTAGGGGGAAATAAAAGCCTTCTGAAGTCTGACAGGGATCCCACCAAGTGTAGGTTGACCAGCCTTCACACCATCTCCAGTGGCAGCAGGTGCTTTCCCTGGTTGTGTGCTTTAGAATGACTGATGCTGCCGGAGTGCCCCTGCACGTGTAAGGTCCCACCGAGGTCTTCTCAACCCCAGCAGCCGTGCCCACGCACTTGGAGTGGCAGTGGTGTGGGAGAGTCGGCACTGTGCAACATTCTCGCACTGTGGGTGTTAGCACGCTGTTTTAGTTTGCCACTTTAGGAGGCAATAAAATTCGCGTTTATTGTGGTTTTAATTTGTAATTCCCAGTTGCTAGTAAAGTGGAGCAGCTTGTCACGTGCTCGCAGGCCACTGGGCTTCCCGCTCTGTAATATATCTTCTGTTGATGTCTCACACATTTTACTGTTGTGGTATTTGTATTCTGCTGAGTTTTAAAATGTTTTCAGTCTGTGTAATGTTCCTTCCTTCCTTCGTTCCTTCCTTCATTCCTTCGTTCCTTTGTTCCTTCCTTCCTGCCTGCCTGCCTGCCTGCTGGTTTTTAACTTATACATTGTTCTGCTTATTAAAATTTGTGTTTGTATTTGCATGTGCATGTTCATGTGGATGCATGTGCAGAGGGGTACGCACGCACATGAATGTATGCATGGAGGCCAGAAGTCAGCCACAGGTAGCATCGCTCAGGTGCTGTATGCCTTGGCTTTTTATTTTGTTTTTGCTTTTATATTTTGAGATAGGAGCCCTCACCAACCTGGGGCTCACTGATTTGCTAGCCTGGCTGGCCAGTGAGACCCAGGGATCAACCTGTCTTTACCTCCCCAGGGCTTAGATTGCAAGTGCACACCACTGTGCCAAGCATTTCTCTATTGGTTCTGGGGATCAAGTTCAGGACTTTACGCTTGTGCAGTACATACTTTACTGATTAATCCATCTCCGCAGTTCTTCAAATGGTTTTTAAAAATCATAATTTTAGAAGCTGCTAGTTTCCTAGCATACCAGAATATGGTTAGTGTCCTACTTCGTTGAAAACAAAACCCACTAACCTTTTAGTATTTTCCCAGCAATGTTGGCAATTTAATTGCAAGTATCTCAGGCACAGTAACATGTCTGTTGGTCATCCAGTGGATGTTCATGGCAATGTGTCTCAACCTTGGCCGCCCCTGGGAACAAACCTTGAAGCTTTAGGAAACCTTGATGTCCAAGCTGCCAGTGCCATCACATTCGGAGGTTGGGGTTGGGGAGGTGTTTGTTCCTTAAATTCAAAGATGATTTTGAAGTTGTGGGTGGCAGGTTTGTAACGTGCGTCTGCCATTGGATATACCGTGGGCTGTGGACATCACCAACCTAGTGTCTGCAAGCTTTTTCTTTTTTTTTAGTGTAACAGTCACACAGAGTTCTTGTTAAAAATAACGCTTACCTAGTATATTGGTGCAGGTGCATGTGTGTGCTTGTGGAGGTCAGAGGTCGATGTTGGGTGTCTCCTCACTTGCTGTCCCCCATATTTTCAGAGACAGAGTCTCTTTACTGAACTTGGAGCTCATGTATTCAGCTACACTGACTGGTCAGCAGGCTCTGCCCTACCCAGTACTGGGATCACAGATGCATGCGACCATGCCTGGCTTTTTACAGGACTCCTGGAGATCCAAACTCAGGTCCCCATGCTTGCATGCCAAGCACTCTACTGACTGAGCCATCTCCCAAGCAGCCCCTTGGAGAGTCTGTATTTTTAGCACTCTTCCCAGGATACCTAGTTCTTATCACACAAGTCTTGGGAAAATAGTACCTAAGTCTTAAAAACCATGGTATCTTCAAAATAGTGATTTATAAGGCAGTTCTAGTTCAAATAATTATTATGACTTTAACATTAGATTAAAAAGTTTCTGTTTCCTGTTATCTTTTCTAAAATATACGTTCTGTGAAACCAGCTCCGGAAGAAATCAGCACACAGCTGTCTGGGAAGTTCCAGCTGAGTTTCATTTGAAATTGCCTCACCGTGGGCAGTCACTCTTCTCCGTGAGGCCCTACAAGGCAGGTGGTGGGTAGGAAGTCTATGGACTCCAGTCTCTGGCATTCTGGGTTGTTTGTGGGTTTTTTTTTCCCCTACCTCTGAAATCCTCAGGGGCTGTTGTTTAAGTTGGAATGCTCATAAAGAGCAGATGAAGATCACAAAGCAAGGTGTCAGGAAATGAAATTCCCTACACATCCAGATGCAGCATCTGTGTCAGCATGGTGATTTTAACAGCTTACATCTCCCCTGCCCCTTGAACATTAGGGCTGTGAGCAGATGCTTCACAAATCTGAAACGTAGTTTACATATAGGCGTAGTGTGCTGAGGAGAAATTCAGAGACTCTTTCAGTTTAGATACTGGGTAACAGAGCCAAAGTGAAAATACGCATCCACCAGTCACAGTGGGCTGGATGTGCTGACCATTGTGTGCATCCTCACATGCCAGAAGTGCATCTTAAAGGACCTTTTCTTCAATGTCCAAATCATTTCTTTATCTTTTGGTGCACTTGTGTGTGTTTGCATGTGTGCGCGCACATGCAGAGGCTGGAAGCGGGTGTTGGGAATCTTCCTGTATCACTCTCCACCTTATTTTTGAGACTGGGTCTCTCAGTGAACCCGAAGCTCACAGTTTTGGCTAGGCTGGCACGTGTGTGCGCTCACACCTGCACCCCGCCCCCCCCCCAACCACAGTGCTGCTCTTTCTTACAGCTCACAGTTTTGGCTAGGCTGGCACGTGTGTGCGCTCACACCTGCACCCCACCCCCCAACCACAGTGCTGCTCTTTCTTATCATTTTGTTCCTCAGGCTTCACACAGACTTTGGCATATCCTAAGGCTGTTCATTTGTTTGTAAAACTCATTCATTTCCCAGCCCAAGAGGGTCCCCACCCAGGCAGATGTGCTGGATGAATGTTCTTTCCTGTTTTCTTTCTAGTGTTCAAAGCTGCTGTCAGACACAAGCGTTATTCAGTTCTACCCAAGCAAATTTGTCCTTATCACCGACATCCTTGATACATTCGGTAAGTACCATAGCCATTGTATATCTAGGAAATGCCATTTTGTTAGGAAGTGACTGGAACAGCTGTTTGAGTTCTGCTGTGACTTCCGCTGTTCCAAAAGTTATGAGGGACCAGATGTGCCCTGTGAGGGTACTGTTATTTTGTTCATATATTTTTTCATCTTTCATTTTTAAATTTTTTTTCTGTTTTAAAGGCAGTTCAAAAGATTTTATATATAATGTATAACATCATGTATGTTATACATATTTTCAGTATGCAAAGTAGCCTGTTACATTTTTATTTTTGATTGATACGTAGTAATTGTCCATCACTGTAGGACATAATGTAGCATTTCAGCACAGGTGCACAGTATGATGGTCATGTCAGGGTCACTGGCAAATCTAGCACCACATTTATCACTTTTTTGTGTTGGGAACATTCAAAATGGTCTGAGCTAGCTGTTTTGAATTATCAGTTGTCAACTGCCATTGTCCTATTGTGTTATAGAACATTAGACGTTCTCCTCGCATAAAATGTTTTGCAAAGATCTTGTACTCTATGTTGTCTAATCTTCAGATAGGCTGATAAAGTGAACAAAGTGGGCAGGTTTGGGAGCATGTGTCCTGGCTAAGCTCTGGTTCATCTTCACCTTAGTAACACCTGAGCTCTGTTGTTTGGAGCTGAACGTATTTGTCAGTTTTCTGTCACTGTAACCAAATACTTGGGACCATCAACTTAGAAGGAGGAAAGGATTATTTGGGCTTAGGGTTTTGGAGGTTCCCCACCATGATTTGGGCCCGTGTTGAGGTAGCACATCCTGGCAGGAATGTGTGGTGGGACTTGTCCACTCACCTCATAAGCAAGAAGCAAAAGGGTAAGGAAGGGCATGCTCTCAGTGGCTTAAAGACCTCCCACTAGGCCCTACCTCTTAAAGGTCCTCCCAAGAACACTATGCGGGATCCTCAGCTTTCACACATGGGCCTTAGGAGATACCTAAGATCCATACTGTAGAGGGAACATGGCCTCTCTTGTCAGAACTTTCTCTGCCCTGGGGTGTCTGTGTTTCAGGCATTGCCACTGCCACATACTCATGTTCCTCAGCTGGAAACCTGGGTGTACTCCCTGTGTCGCTAATCCCACACCCAGTCACCAGGGCCTTCCTCCTGGCCTCCTGAAGCTCCCTCAACTTGCCTGGTTTTCTCTGTCACCACAGTTCTGTCCTGCTTGGGTGGTGGTTGTAGCACCTGTGAAGTCTTTCTGTGTTGTTAGGGCCGCCCTAGTCCTACAATTCTCACTGCAGGCAGAGATCTCTTTTTTCTGAGCGATCTTTTGCAGCTCAATAGAAAGTTCTAGATGGGGAGGACACGGTTGGTTGAGCCAGAGCATCTTGCCAATAGCAGTTTGCCAGGGACAGGCAGCACCCCAGGCTACATGTGATGGTTCCCATGGAGATGCCTCAAAGGTACCTGCAAATATTGCCTTCTAAGAACTGGAGGTCATACTAGAGGCATTCACCATCTCATACAGAAGGGCCCTGTGGGCTCCAACCCAGCCAGTTTTGTCTGCAACCCCTCAAAATATCTGATACATCAGAAAACAAAATATCAGTCAGATATTAGGTCTGTCTGTGAAACCAGGGACCTGAGAGTGGTCTTTTTTGGGAGGGGTGGGGGGCTCTTTTTGAGACAGGGTCTCCCTGTTGCCCCAGCCGTCCTGGAACTCACTATGTAGACCAGGCTGGCCTTGAACTCACAAAGATCCGCTTGCCTCTGCCTCCCGAGTGCTGGGATTAAAGGCGTGTGCCATCACACCCAGCTTGTCCTTTCTTTTTTAAAAAATTTTATTATTTTTATTTTATGTGTGTGTATTGCTTGCATGTAGGTAAGAGCATCCATGTTGTACAATGACCGAGGAGGTCAGAAGAGGCTATTGGATCCCCTGGCACTGGAGTTATAGACAGTTGTTAGCTGCCATGTGGGTGCTGGGATTTGAACCCAGGTCTTCTGCAAGAACAACCAGTGTTCTTAACTGCTGAGCCATCTCTCCGGCCCCGAGTGTCCTTTCTTAACCAAGTGACAGCAGGGGTTGCCAACCTGGAAAGCAGGTGTTTATTGGCTCATGCTAAAATGCAAGAGTTGCTTCTGTCTCAGGAACAGCAGGTCTAGAAACTCTATCATTGGGACTTTGCCTTTTTCTAGTTCTTTCTTTTAGGATGACTTTATTCTTAAGCTTCCCAGGGACTCCCCTGCTTCTGTCAGTTTTACTGCTGGTGGTCCTAGAGCAAGGAAGGAGTCCAAAAAAGATCCTGGAAGTCTACCTTACCAACCTGGCTTGGATCATTATGCCACTCCGTGAACTGGTTATGGTATTTGGGGATGAGATTGGCTGACTTTCCAGACCTGGGTTGATACCCTTCTCCAAAACAAAAACAAAACAAAGAAATAGATGCTGCTGTTGCCCAGAGAATGAGGAATAGGTGTCTACTACCAACTGAGCTACATCCCAATCAAGAACTTCATTGGGCCATAGCCACGTCCATTACCTTACTATGGCCTGTGGCCACTGTCCTGTTACAGGGGAGTGTACTCCCTGTGGAATGTTCAGTCCCAGGCCATTGCTGTGAGTAGGAGGGCTGTGGAGACCACGGCCACCATTGGAAGGGGCAGCTGCTGTTTTCCAGCTGTGTGGTAGCCTGTAGTGCTGATGGCACATTTGAGCACATCTTAGGGGGAGAAGCAGTTTTCACTTGAATTCAGCAAGATTTTACCCAAGGGTAACTAATTTTAAAAGTATTAAGGTGTTTTGTGGGCCTTGAGGTGTAGGCTGCACGTACCTGGTCTCATTGGCTGAGTTCTGACCACAGGCTGCTCATTTGCAGCCACTGCATAAACTAGGCACGGCTGGAGCTAGAGTCAAATGTAGAGTACTTTGTATTGAGTGTGTGAGGACATCTGAGGCTGCTCTGGCCCCGAGTTCCAGTCAAGACTGAGGCAAAGTAGACTCTCTTCCTCTTACCACCTAGAGTAAGAAATCCCGCTTTCCACCAAAATTAACCAAAAATTTCAGAACATAGTGGCTTTACAATGTATCCCGCTAGGTGGCAGCATGCTCTCACAAGTTGATGCCTGCCTGTGAGGTGCCATTTTCCTGCTCTAATTAGCCATGTTTATTTAGTGTTTGCTCTTGGCTCGTGTGATGCCAATACCATCTGTCTTTTTTCCCAGGAAAGCTGGTCTATGAGCGCATCTACTCCATGTGTGTGGACAGCCGAGGTGCCTTGCCAGGTAAGGGCATACCACCTGCGTTTGGGGTGCCATTCTGCCCCTGAACTGCTCTAAGAAGGTTTTAATCAACTCAAGATTTGTTGAAAACCGATAAGGCCTCAAATTTTAGTGTGTTAAAAGGAATGCATTTGAAGATCTGATGCAAAAGCATGACGGGGTTTGCAAATGGGGCCTTTCCGACTTTGGGCAAGCCATTGCAATGTACAGAGATGGCCTTGGCCGGACTTCCTCACGGTTCCTTCTCTGCTGCTCCGCATCATTCTGTTTCCCTGTATGCCCTTCTTTCCAAGAAGCGAATTGCTTTCAAAACTTTGTATGTCTAAAAGAATAATGTCAGATAAATCAATAGTAGCAACTGCTCAGACGCTTTAGTCTGTCCCCAAGCGATGCTGGCATTAAGTTTCTTGCCAATCAATTTGAAATTCCCAGGAGGCTGTACTGGGACAGGCAGATGACAACAGACTTCTCTTGTCGTGTGAGTGAGCGCGATGGTGTGTGAGTGAGCGTGATGGTGTGTTCTGTTGTGCGGCACCCGTAGCGGCAGGTTCCTTTTGCCTCCTGTAACCCCCAAGCTCTGCTGCAAGGAGCCTGCTCGCTCACACAAGCTTAAGCAGCAGCTTGGGCTGTCTCATTTCACCCCTCCTCCCCCTACTCCTAACACTGTTTCTTGCCAGGGGACCAGGAGGCAGTTTTGTGACAGTAATTCATAACTTGACCTATGCCCGTCCCTCCCTCCCTCCCTCCCTCCCATCTTTTAGCATTCCCTCCCCATCCCCAAGTCGTGTTGTCCCTGGTGTCTTTTCCCTTCTCTCTT